ACATATAATTCTGCATATCTCTACCTCCAGCTACTGAGAATTTGAAGATTCTACCTGATGCCTTTAAAAAGTTTTAGAGAAAACCTTAACTGTGAAGGCCTTTTGTACACCCCCCCCCTAAGAGCCTCTAGGGTCAATTGCTAATGAGATGATTAGTTAATAAATCCATATTTTGCATACAAGATTCCAATTGTTTATATTACATTTTAGCAATATTTAAAGCTTAAGACTGCTTTGCTATATTGATGAAGTATTTTGCTGACATCAGCACATTATATTTCGAATTAAGTTGACATCTTAGTTAAAAGAGTAACCTTGTTCTTTAAAACATTAATTTTTGACCATTCAAGTCCAAATTTATGGTTGTAAATTGATTAGATATGTAAAATCAATTGAAATGAGAAAAATAACTATTACCATTGACTCAGCACTTATCACAGCATTAATTTTTATCTGTTTCAAGGTTCAGTTCAAAGTTAATCATGTAAATGTGAAATGAAATCACTAAAACCATGTAAAAGCAAGTATATAAGTTCTTAAAACTAGATTCTTAAAATCCCTACTTATGGAATATTACAAATTCTGCTGACCTTGCAGAAAAAATGCTCAAGGTAACATTACTGCATATTTGTCAAATCTTCATCAGAACACATCAGACCAACATATTATGCATTAAAACATTGTATATACTCCAAAACAACCCCCCTTGGCTTTCTTCTAGATTAAACGCATCTCAGTGGCCCAAAGTGGCCTCTAAAAGCACTCCAATGGCCCCAAACTCATTCTAGAGGCCCCAAAAGCTTCCCAGTTGCACCCCAGTGACCCCCAAAAAGTGACCCCCAGTGGCCCCCTAAAAGCATCCTAGTGGCCCCTGAAAGCATCCCATTGGCCCCCTGTGGTCCCAAAAAGCATCTCAGTGGCCCAAGGTGGCCTCTAAAAGCACTTCAATGGGCCCTAAAATCATTCTAGTGGCCCCCAAAAAGCTTCCCATTTGCCGCCCCAGTGGCCCCCAAAAAGCATACTTGTGACACCCAGTGGCCAAAAAAGCATCCAAGTTGCCCCATTATGCCCCCTAAAAGTATCCTGGTGGCCCCCGAAAGCATCATTTTGGCCCCCTGTGACCCCAAAAAGCATCTCAGTGGCCCCAGGTGGCCTCTAAAAGCACTCCAGCGGCCCAAAAACGCATTCAAGGGCCCCATTATGCCCCCTAAAAGCATCTAGGTGGCCCTTGAAAGCATCCTATTAGCCTCCAGTAGCCCCCAAAACCATCCTAGTGGCCCCCTGAGGCCGCCAGAAGCATGCAAATGGCTCTTCATGGCCATCAAAAGCAGCCTGGTGGCCCCCTGTGACCCCTAAAAGCATCCCGGTGGCCCCCAAACCCTAAACATATTCCAGTGGACCCCCGTGGTCATGGGGATGGCATATTCACCTGGTTACCATAGCTAACATAGGCATAGCCAGGGGGTGTAATGAGTGCACCCCATGTAACCAATCTGTAACCAATAAAAATAGAACCATTAGATAGAAGAGTTTTAAAATGCATTTGACTCGAAGCTTCTAGCTCAGTTTTGAAGGAAGTTGTATCAATTTTTGTAAAATTAAACAAAATCCCCCCCCCCCACTGAGAGCTACATTTATTCAATGTTTATGACCATACATGAATGAATGTAATAAACTATTCAAACATGACCGTGCTCTATTCGAATTTCTCAACCAATCAGAATGCAGCATAGTCAATATAGAACGTTCTCTAATTCTCCATAGATGCACGACCATGCTCTATTCAATCTGCAATTTGCATTGTTTTGAGTGACGTCACATCTCAGCTGCACATCTGGGGCTCTGTCCGGGGATAGCTGTTCTTCAGAATCTTGACAGCATGCGTATTCTTCCTTCATGCCCGTTCCACAGACACGGCTTTTACTAATTTTTATGTTTGAATCGGAATAAATAATGATAGGCCATTCAATATGGTGAAATTCAGCACTCGTTGGACAGAATGTTAGTACAAATGCACTCACCTTCGGTTCGTGCTTTGTACAACATTCTGTCCAACTCGTGCTGAATTTCACCATATTGAATGGCCTATCATTATTTATTCCTTAAATAAACTCAACTAAAAGAAATTAACTAGTTAAAAGCATTAATAATAATAATTTCGCAGATTTATACATCATGATTAAAATAAAATACACAAAAACAAACAGTAATGACGTCATAATTAAGATGCAAATAACCTATTTGCATATTTTATGAACTGTTTGATTGCTTCATCTATTACCTTTCATTTGGTGCAAATTTCATCGAAATCTGAGTAACAATGACGAAGATAAGGGCCAAACACCGAAAAGAGCCCCTAAAAGTGGGTGTGGCATATTTACTTTGTTACCATAGTAACGCTGCTGCGGATTCAGAATTGCCAACTTAATATATTTTTAGTGTGTTATCTATTACCTTCCATTTGGTGTGAATTTCATCGAAATCTGAGCAATAATGAAGGAGATAAGGGCCAAACACTGAAAAGAGCCCCTAAAAGTGGGTGTGGCTTATTGACTTGGTTACCATAGCAACGCCGTCGCGGATTCAGAATTGCCAACATCATTTTTCTTGGTAAGTATCACATATAGTTCATAAAAATATATGTCGCTTAGCTCGCCTCTAAAAAGGACACGGAATTACCTTAGCTCCCATACTATAAAGGCAATATGTGAATTGCATTAGAGTAAGACGAAGGCAATTTTAGTGGAACATGAATTTATGATTAATAATTAATAATTTTGGGAGGATTTTGATACAGGGTTTATCCAAAGGAAAACATGTATGTAAGAGGTATAAACTCTGTATCTAAATAGTTGTGCTCCATATGCATAAGACTTGTCATCTGGCATTTTTGAATGCATAGGGAATACAAATGTATTTTAATTTTGCTAAAAATAATGGGGAGATGGATATTTCTGTATGTCCCTGACCCTATATATAGTGGGACAGATTACGAGTAGATACAGAAAATATCCATCCTGCTTTCTGGATATGATTTATATTAATGATGAGATTGGTTATTGGGAGCTTATATTGTAAATATTACTCAATGCTCAGCACAAAGTAATAACTTTTTAACTTGCTCAAACTTTAATACACAAATTCAGCGAATTAACAACTAGACTGACAGAATATCATTCCTATGCAAAGTTGTTCTGTAAAACAGAACTCATGTGTATACTTTCTTAAAGCGTCAACAAAGGATAGGGCCTAGCTGATGTCAGCTTTTTGAAAAGATTTTGGACTCATTTTTTGCTCAAAGCATTACTTGTCATACGTACTTTCTAAATGTCTTAAGAGTTCTGATAGCTATTAAAGGGATCTTTAAGGGATACATTGGCATGTTTATTGAAAAGGTTGCTACTAACAGTTTACACGCTCTATCCCTTGTTGCCACTTTAAGTAGTTGAACTGAACATTTGTTGTAACTGTATTGTTGTACATTGGAATAGAAATGTTAGAATAAACGATTTGAAAATCCATTTATGGATCATTTTGTGCTTTTGATAAAAATTTTATCAGATTTATAAACTAAGATTTTTAACGTTAAACAGTAAAAACGTAGCAAATGTACGTTAACGATTTACAGGTTCATCATTGTCCAGTAATTGTTTTCTTATGAGCTTTTGTTATATTTCAACATGTCTGTCGGCCTGTCAAAAATAGGATAATAAAGGAGGAATAAAATTATTTTCAGAAAAAGTCATTCTAACTCTTGTTTGAAATGTTATTCCAATTTCCATATTACCAAAATAAGTCCAAATTCATCCTTTTGTTATCATTTATGCATATCAGTAAGAACAAAAAATCAAATAAATATTAAAAATATTAAAAATGGCTTGTAAAAATGGCATGGTTGAAAAATCAATGTTGAGCTTAAACTTAAAAATCATGACTTTGTCAATAACATTTACATATGCCTCATCATCAACATTTTGTAAAAAAGTCGTGTGAGTGAAGTATCTATGTTACTACATGTATTCACCGGAATAACCTGACATCGGTAAAGTCATATCGTTGTCACAAATGGCGGACATAACCGTCGCTTCAAACTCTTTAATCACCTGGATTTCATTTCATGGGATTTTATCGTCGCTAATTCTGTGCATGTATTAAGCTCTTGTGATGATGTATCATATGAAATCCCAATTTCGATCGAATTGGGTCGTGAATCGCTATAATATAGCGTCTTCGATATCGTAAATGACAACGGAATCTGAATTTGAAATAATTTATAAAGACAACGGCATATGGTAAAACAGTGTCCGTTGTCCCGTATCTCATTTTGATCGGTAAATTAAGACTGTTTCGACGGTAGAACATTATTAACTGTACAATGAGTATAAAAACACTATGATTGATTGTTGTTCCAAAGAAATTTAGTCTAGATGCTCTATTAAACATACAGTTCATGAAAATCTGATTGAAGCAACGGTTATGTCCTCCATTTGATTGTTGTCAGGCTATTCCGGTGTGATGTATAATGATAGTTGTGATGGGAATTGGCCAGATCTCATTGTTATATCGTTTTTCTTACTTTTATGATACTTCACTCTACTCACTAAACATCTTCTCACACAGTTACAGTGGCGACGGGGGGGGGGGGGGGGGGCTCACAAGGGCTTGTAGCATGGTACATGTCTACATTAAAGCACCGTATTCATTCATATTTTCATTTGTTATTATATTACAGTACTTACATTTGAACAAAAATACATACATTTGAACTAAAATACATACATTTGAACAAAAATACATACTTTTGAAGAAAAATACATACATTTGAAGAAAAAAACATACTTTTAAAGAAAAATACATACACTTGAACAAAAATATAAACCTTTGTGTAATTAACTACAAGTTAGGTGTGCATTATTACTTCATGTAAAAGTTTTAAATTACAGGCTTCCTTATCATTAATGATTTTTGACATGTGTTAAACTCCCATAATATAACAAAGTATGTGCAAGAAACATAAATGATAGATAATTAGAAACTAATCAATACTATATTTATGTGTTTTATTGAGCTCACATTAATTGATTAATTGAAGTCAACTCAGAGACACTGATAAATTATACATGTTTGTTGCTATTTGTCAGTCATCTCCATGTTTTTTTTGATAATTTAACCTCAGTCCCAGCTAAATCAATACGTTATATGAGAATACGTAAATGATACATTTATGTCCGCCAAAATGATGAAATGCTTATTCAGTTAAATTATTGAGTAGAACGTTTTATCAGTTTATGTCATGTTCTTTGACTGGGCTGACAAATACGTGTCCAGACTTTCCTTCCAACCAAAATGTTGTTAACATGCCACGCCCCTGAAAGTAACAAGAAAACATGAGTTTAGATGATGAGCTTTATCATCGCTTTGAAAGTGCTAAATTTTCGTCATCGTGTGGTGATGGGCATGCGGGTGGGAGGCTCAAAAAGTTTCATCAAGATATAAAAAAAACCGTTCAGCCGTTTATCTTGAATTTTTACAGATGTAAAAGCACACTAGTTTTTGGACATGTTTTTCTCAAAAGCGGTCATTTTGCTTTTTTGCGGTTTTATTTTGACTGTGCATGGACCTCTACCCCTTTGGGATAGATGTTCGTTCAGAGTGTCAGGCCAGACTGGCCAGGCTGCAAATTATCCCGGTAAGCAAATAGACTCAGAATGCATTGAAACCTAGTTATTCCATGGGATCCTGTTCACGATTAAATAAACTTACTAAAGATCCTCTTTACCAGAATGAAAATGAAATAAATATTCAAAAAATGAAATGAAAAAAGAAAATCATCTTCACCTTTATTTCTACTTCTCCCCGTTTTCTGACAAGATAACCATCGAATTTTGATAACATGTTGTTGGCCTCTTCGCTCATCTGTATCCGCATTGGTTCGGCAGTAGACTCCATTCTGGATGCCAAGTTGATTGTGTCCCCGAACAGACAGTACCTCGGCATAGCAGTGCCCACCACACCTTTATACGAAATAAACGCTAGCTAATTACAAATGTGAAACATTCTTGAACTGCAAGTCTGATTCGGTAGCTGGTTGATCACCCGAGATCAAATGATTATGATATCACCACCAGACGTGGTCACATTGTTATAGTCTCCAACTCTTTGTGAACGGTGTTCGGCGGTTGGCGTTCGGCTTCTGTGATAAATGGCAGGTGGTGACATTTTGCATGTAAATACCTCGTCTGACATTCTAAGAGTGTAGAAGAATTAAAAAATTGTAATTAAGTTGAATGAAAAAATGACATCAATCTGCTACCTGCTGCGCAAGACCCACTGTGTATCCCAATCCGCATCTGAAGCTTTCTCCTCGGTAAATGTCTGATCCTGAAGTCCCTGATACTGTTCAGCATGTCCAGGGACATGTCTGCAATGTTGGCAACATGCTTTATACCGTTTCTCACAGGCAGTCCACTCACTACCATATAAGAGTCACCAATTGTCTCAACCTGGAAATGACCTTTTGATTTATACCTCAATACCAATGCGTGTCCTTCAACGAATGACTTGAGGAGTAATTGCAGGGAGTCGGCTAATAACATCGGGTAATTTGTTATTTTTGTTGAGATGTTATATTTTCTCAAGACACGCAGGGGAGCCTGGGGCAAGTTGAACTATTTGGTAAGATGTTCCCATCCATTTTGTATTCCTATAAGATAATTACTTATTCAAATCGATCCGGCTAATACACCAACTAGAATACACATGCATGTTGTCATTTGTGATGAATGGGATATGATAGATATGACCATTTTGCTCAGAGGGTTATTTTTATTGAAATAAATGGTTCGGCTGCCTTTCTCATTTTCTTACCTTGTAGACATCATATTTTGCAATAATGCTATCAAGCAGAATGTACAAGTCGTTTAGAATGGTCACAATTTCCATCGGAGAACTAGCCTTGGTCAGTTTGGTAAAGGATACAATGTCGGAAAAGAATGCTGTTACTAAGCTGTATACCTCCGGTTCAATAACTTTGCCCATCTTTAAACTTTCTGCAATTGGTCTGTAAGGTTGAAAAATTGCAAAGTAGTAAAGTGTGAGTATTCATCATACCAGTCGCTTACTAGTTTGAATTTCAGACGTTATGAAAACTTCATAGTTTAGTAATCCAAGATACGTACATGTATTCATGTCCGCGGGCTGAGACTATCGAATATTAATGGGATCAATTTTACGATGAGACTCAATGGGATACCGCGTTGTCATTTAATATTTTAAAAAATATTGTTACTTAAACCCTTATTATGTAATGTTCATTAAATGTCTATAATAGTAATTGTACATGATCAACAAGAGAGGTTAAATCGAATTACCCAGGTAGCATTCGATACAATAAAATGTCTGTCTTCCTCTTCTCTTCAATCAAAGCATCTGTTCTGGCCTCAATAAGATCTTCTAGATTGTTGGTATACGTCTCCAATTTGGCCATCATCTTATCCATAAGGTTAAACCTCCTAAATAATAAATTTAATTGCAACTGACATCGATATAGCATGCGATCGTGATCTTATATTTATCTAAAAATTATAATAAGTGATAAAACAGAGACACCGTTAAACATCTTTAAGGACTCGAACCACAAAATAATATGTATGAAAAAATGATATATAATGGCTTATATTACCTTCCGCTGTTTTGTATGTTAAGCCTCTTTTTTACTTCTTTAAAGGTTGGTCTGTAGATTTGGTTTTCATGCCAACAGTCTCTCATTAAATCAATGATATCGGGTTTAGCATCACTATCCTCTCTCACTTCAGGTCTAAATGGAGGGTTTTCCCCCATGGTGACCCTTTCAACAATATCTACAATTATTGGTTGCACCTTTAAATGCTAGGCCTATGTATTAAATGAAATATACCGGTGTAAAAGGGTAGGAGGTCCTATTAATTTATGGTCCTTCTCTCCATTGATTTATATGGTGACCTCTTTCCCTTATTATCTTATACACAATCAGGGCCAGTAGGGGCCTTTAAAAAGGGGGACCGCAGGCCCGCAGCCAGAGGGAGTGGGGGTTGGGGGTTCGGGCACCCCCCTGGCCACGAATTCTTTCAAAAGCATGCAGTTTTTCAATATTTTCAGCACTTTTCAACTGATTTTGACCAAAAACGAACCCCCTTGGCAAAAGCTGGGCATATCCAGACAAATCCATAGAAAACAATTTTTGGGTCCCAAATTTTAAAATATAAGGCCCATTTTTTTTGAAACGAAGGTCGTAAGCAAAAGACGTCTGTTATCTCTAAGCTCTGGGGCTTTCCCTCCTCTTCAGGCATATGGAACTTTAATGTGACGTATCCTGGTGTATAGGCTAATGTGTTGAATAATGCATTTGTACCTTTAGGCGATATTTCTATGCTATGATATGGTCCGCTTCTGTATATGATTTCTTGCACTATAATGGCAAAACTGTACACATCTCCTTTCTTTGTTCCATGGGCAGGTGGTAAGGCCATTCTCATTATCTCGGGGGAGGTCCAAAGTTTTGCTGGAATCATATGTCTATAAGATCTACTAGGCAAGATGCCAAAACGAATATCTACTGTTAAAACACTGTTCAGATTGATTGAATTTAATCTCGGCACTAGCAATTTCTCTACTACATCAATTAATTGCAATATTTTACATGAGACCTTTTCAATTTTGATTTTCTTTTGATATTTCCTTGGGTAGGTATCGATATAGCCTTGCCAAAGTCGGTATTTTTTACTTATCTGATCTTAAATTATTACAATTGAAATCAAGATAAGTAAAAGAGATTGACTTGGGCAACAAGTATCGATAATACAAAAAGGCTAAAAAAAATTGCTGAACTAACAATACATGTCATGTAAAAGCTACGTTCAAAACATTAATTTCTCACTCTATTAGATAATCATGCACAAAACTTTCAAAACATCACAATTCATCCCAAAATCCTCACCATAATAAACAGCGTATTCCCCATCACCATCATTATCAGGGTCGTAATATTCTTGGTTCAGTTTGAAACGATGAAGACCATAGTCGGTGATCTTCAAGACCCATCTCCCGTCAATTACACAGTTGCTGCTTTTGAGGTTGCCATGGGACAAAAGTGGGGATGAGTGAATATATTCCATACCCTGGGAGAGAGATGATATGAATTCAGTCGGACGCCATTAAATTGTTTCCAATAGTAGATATTTGAAAATGTGACTTCGAGGTCGGATAGATTCCCCATAAAGCAATGGGCCAAAAGTGGTCATATCAAGTCTCATGAGGTTCTACCCAATGGATGTCAAACCCCATTATAATGCACGTTGAATGCACGTTAATTGATACACCCATTAGTGCACATTAGATGGGCGTATAAAGGCAAGAAAGTTTCAATGCACTTTACATTGTTTTAGAATTGGGTTGTGTAAATGACGACTTACGCTGACTACATCAGATATGAGGGAGCTTTTGAAAAGCCAGTCCAACTTTATGTCATCGTTTGCTAAAACATCCTACAAAAACATTATCCTTGATCATATATTTATACATTCACACAAAAAGGATGCAAATAATATCATGTATTAGCTCTTGTGTTCTCTAATATTACGAAGAGGATCCAAAAACTAGTGAACTACATGTAGTTAATCTCAGCTGCATCCATCATGATAAACCATGACATCTCATTTCTTCTCAGCCCTGAGATGTTTCAGGTGAAACAGAAAGATGCTATGAGTATCAGTATCAGAATGGCTGCATCGGTCGACGATGTTTCCTTTTAAGTCTGGTTTATCTCATTGTTGGCGATTCAGGTAAGATGGTATCATGATATCACTATTTAGATTAGGTCACATACCTGCAAACTCCGTTTTGCACAGAATGCAGTCAGAACGCATATGCTTCCAGGTGAAAGACAAATCCCAATAAACGCGTTGACGTTGTGGTGGTTCATTAGTTTCATCTACAATTATTGAAATATGATGCATGGATTTTGTTTTCAAATGATAATTTTTTTTTAATTCCGAGGTCAGTGTTGGTACAAGTGAAGAAATGCTTTTTGGTTAAGTTGTATTTAGAATATGTTTTATTTCATCGAAGCTTTATATCTGATCAGAATACACTATTGGTATCACTGGTGGACAAAATATATAAAGTAGCCCTACAGGAAGAGAGATGGAGGGGAGTCAAATAAATTTCATTTATAAAAATTGAGACCCTAAACTAATCTTCGAAGACCGCATGAAATGGTTAAATACTATTTTACAAATACCAAGAACCATGCATCAATTTTACCAATAGCCTATATAAATATTTAATGAAGGTAAAGTAACAAATTCAAACAAGATAGGTATCTATTATATTTTCAAAAAAGTATATTCACCAAATTTTCAAAATATATTTAGAATAAATAAAGCTATATAATTTTTTACATGATCCTGTCAGAGATGGCCTTACGTATTTAAGTTCCTTGTGATCTTTGTTGTTTAAATTCCCGATGTATCCAACATTTTTAACGTACGCTAGGTTGCCCCTGACCATTCCTACCCTTTTCTCAATCTTATCAGTCTGTCTCACACCATCATCATCCTTACTAGATAGGGTTGTACTCGTCTAGAAGATAAAATATTACACATCACAGATCATGATTCATGAATAGATGTAGTCTTGCTTCAAGACCCTGGACTAACTCCTCTAACGACCAGTTGTTTCACTTGATGGTCCAGGGTCTTGAAGCAAGACTATTTAACTGTTAAGCTTCAAAAGTTGCTGGAAATTTGATAAACCCATCTAATTCAATATACACAAAAGGGCCAATGATGTAATGGTCAGAGTACAATGGGATCTCATGCCAGTTGTTGTGTCAAAGTGTCACTGCGCCCCAAGTGATTTCCACCGTCCCCAATGCAAAGAATTTAATAAACATGTAGCTATTACTCACCGTGCACGATTTCGTACTACTCTGCACGCTTTTACTTGCACCTAGAATAGTTTTTGTCTTGTTTGGGACCTTGGAGAATACTATTTCACCATAGTCCACCCGCCATAACAGTCCATCAATTTTTGCTTCTAGACGATGTCGTCTAAAAAATAAGAATTGTAATAGAAAACACGCCAAAAACACTAATTTCACATTTCACTAATCGAAATCGTGGACGCAACCCTTGTATTAAAGATGGCCCCAAAGATGAAACGCATATTGAGAGAAAAGGATGTACTGTAGGTGCATCTGGAGTTAACTCGTCTCCAAAAGTTTGGCAACTGGAAAAACTACTTAGTAGTGTTATAGGTAAATGACATGCAGGTATATAATTGATATCTGAGGTGAGCGGGTGATATATATATCTAGTATACGGTCCCTCGGAGAGATATATTGTATTTTCCTCAGATATACCCTGTATCAAAAACCTCCCATTAAATAACCTCTATATATTTGACGACTAACAAATCCAAATCAACTAGGGTTTCACATGATATTCAAAAGGTGTTTCGGTTGCCAAACTTACATGTATGGAGGGACTGTAACTTCCAGAATAGATAAAAACTGCAAGTCGGATAGATTTAATATTCATTTAATTAATTATAAGGATATATACATCCCTCTAAGAGCTTACCTGTAAAAGTATATCGCAAATGACAATATCCCAAGTACAACAAATAAACATGTTATGCCAACGATTATACCGACTTCTTGTTCTGAAATATAAGCAATGAACTACTGTACTTATGGTAAGTTACTATTAAAACGAGAATCACGTTTTACACTTTTCATTACACAATTTTCATTTGAAGAGAAACAACGAGCTTTCCAATACTAATTTCAATATCTTTCTATCTGGCCTACCCACTAATCTAGGCTGGATTATTTGTCACCTGTTAATCCACTCTGTAGACATGCCTCTGTGAAGAAGCCACATTCTGGTGTATCTTTTGGAGCTTTGCCATCTGGCGTCCGCCAATATTCTGTGTTGATAACACGCACCCTCTGAAATGATTATCAAACTATTCTCAACCAGCACACTGAAAATAAACCAGCTAACACCCATGTGAATCATCTTACTTTATTATTGTTAATCTCATTAAACTAATGATATGAATTATTCTTGACTATACACGTTTGGGACAGACCTTTCCCTGACGGTCGTAGCCTTTTATTTCCAAAAAGTGTTCATATTTATCTTTGTGAGGTGGGAGATGCCAAATCCAATAATCAGATTCCCGTTCTGCTTTATCATCCAGCTCGACTAGACCACTCATACCTATGATGAAAAACATGATAACATGAGGAACGTGAACTGGAAAATACTACAGTTCTGTTAAAATCTTTAGTTCATTTGATGACATCGTTATGTTACACTTACAGTTATAATGATTGATCATTTTGTAATCAGTACTAATATATATTGATGCGTCAAACAAGTAAATTTTTGACGTGCACTTATCCTGCTTACCATCAAATTTGACGGTTTCAATCATATCAATTCCTGACACCATATCAGAACCCATCTGTGATGTCCGGTTCAGCGCCAAGCAGTAGAGATACACAGTGTCGTGTAGAAATAACGAGTACAACGATCCCTGGTGGAATGAACACTATTTCAGATAATTTAATGAATACTGATTTCATTATATGTTCAGTTCTATGCTACCATCAACCTAAACGATTATGTAGAATGTAGGGTCATTACCAATATTCGACGAGCTGAATACACAAAACATACCTTTAAAGGTTTTGTCATTGAAGATCCAACGCTGTTAAAATTCCAAGGAGGCTGCTTCATTTTGGATGGAATTTCAGCAAGGAATGTATTCTTTTCTTCGTTTTTCTCGAAGGCAACGGTAACCTTTAACAATTCAAGATAGCATTTATGTTTGTGGTTATAGTAATTCGTGTATGAAAACCAATTTTACAATGAATTATTGGCCCGGTTGGTTCAATAAATACAATTAGAATCTGACTTACGTGTATGAGAGACTGGAACGCATCCTTAGCACTGGAATCATACGTGTTGTTTAGCGACCATGGTCGAGAGATGTCATCCACAGGTACTTAAATCAATTTAGGAAATTATTTGATAGATAAAAAAGAGATGTCATAAAATAGCCCCCTTTTAAGACTCGTATTGATATCAATTTAGAAAGCTCTTTGACGACACCAACTTACAATAACTACGATAAGGTTGAAACTATACAGTTTGGAATATGTAAAAATTAAATCTAATTTTAAGTAGGCCTACTGTGTACATGACTAGAGATAATTAGATTCTATCAAATGCCTTTAATATATCGAAAAACCTACCAATATTAAACGAACTTATGAATACATATTGTCCACTTGTCATTCCTAATTTGTTTGCATGGATCATCACACGACGGACATCTGCAATCTCCAAAAGAACTATGATGACTGAAAGATTAAGTAAAATATAATTGATCAGGCAAATCTCAATATCTAAACACGGTTCTTTTTTTATTATATTTATTTGAACTAGACCTTAACAACAGCGGCATCCACATATGGTGGGCCCATTTAAAAGTCGATATATATTATTAAAACATTCAACATACTCTCACTGGATAAAAATCCTCAGCAAAATCCATATCAGTTAAGATATAACTAAATTATTGTGTTATTTATACACGAAAGAAATATCTCAGTATATGATATATACAATATCTTTAAGGATGCGGATTTTGGACTTACTCCTTCCTCGATGTTCGAATCTTTCAAGAGCTTCTTCTATTTCATTATCTGTCAACGTGTAAGCGTCCATACTATCTGCTAATGTTATGTTGTTATTTCGGAACTGCTGTTTTATAGCCCTATGAATTATAAGAACTTATACTTGGATTATTCATAGGAAATTTTGCTACTTGTTTCTTTTTTTCTTAGTCAAAGGTTTGATTAATTCATAGAGTCTTGTTTTATATAATTGTTGAATTATTATTGATCTCTGTTTTCACATATTTACAGGAGCATATTGGTTGTCTTTAATTTACATATATATTTTGGATATTCTTTCTTTATATAGTACTGAAGTCGCAATGACAATTATCAGGAAAGATAACCAGCGAATAGGGGTCGTACCTTGCTGCGAAGCTTATCATATTATATTTCCTGGTGGACAACATGACAACCCTGCGCCATCCATAATGGTTGAATAGTTCGACTAAGGCAGATCCCATCTTGTTATATGGCGGGAGGACTCGGGCCACTGTAGGAAATCGACCTTTATCAGAGAGACTTGGGTCACTTGATGCGTGGGCAAACATAGGAATATTCCAATACGCTGCCAGGTTTCCAACTGGAATAGCAGCTGAAGCAAAAGAAAGCAAATGTATAAGCACAAATGTTAAACGGAAGAAGGCCAAAGAATATAACAAAACACAAGAAATAAACAATTAAGAGCATGCCAACGACTCCCAAGGAAAAATTCCAAACTCTAAATTTCTCAAATTATGATTATGACGCAAAAATGAAGCAATGACTAGAACAGAAATAAACGATGCACAGTAGTGGATTTTAATAAGTGCTTCATAGTAACTTTGGTATTCTCCTTTCGAAAGCAAGACCCCAGACCTCATCCAAAATAATTGTAAGAGGAAAATGTTATATGGTGCGTTTGGAGGAGAGGATGGGTTTCTAGAAATACCTTCTGAACAGGCTGGTCCAATGAAAGCATCAACGTGTTCATCTAGGTAGAGGTTAACAGCCATTCCAAGACCAAATTTCTCTGTGCATTTTGTGTCTCGATACACGATACTGTAAAAATGAAAATCGTGAATCGCCCAAAATTAACTTATTTTCTAAAGAAAATATTGAATTGATTGACTAATACGAAATACATACATGTGTCAAAATTAGTCTAAAATATGTGTATTAAATCATCGTGGTCCACCTTATGTTATGGCCAGGTATTATTCCATCCTTCCTGCACTTCTCCAAGGCCATCGTGGAGGCAGCTGCATTTGTCTCGTATCCCAAGTAATTCTGTAGACCTAAACATCAGATATGACAAAGAGTTGTTTTTATGTTTAAATCAGGGAAAAGTATATTCACGAGTTTGAAATAAACGCACGGAGTTAAAACAATCAAGGATTTATTTTAGAACCATTATTTTTACTTGTAATTTTAGTTAATCTCTCATGTCTTTGCAGAGTGACCTTCAGACTTTACACCCTGTCTCAACCCAGAATCCAAAATGATAAACAAAATGATTATTATACAACATCTACTATTCTAATTAAGTCACTTACCTTCTCTAGGTAACAGTAGTCCAAGTTTGATATTCCCTGCATGTACATGCACCAAGCTTGCAATAATAACACCATAATATGAAGCTACTGATCTCAAATATATTTTTGCGAGCATTGCAATCTGGTTGGGTTCAGTGGTTTTGTTTATGTTTTTGAGATGTCTGTGTCAGTGAAACATATGCTTTCTCCAATAACAAATATTATTTTTACAGAATAGCATAACTTCTAAAAACTTCTAACGAAAATTAATCGATACTACTTACATAAGGAAAGTAATTAGCCGGAGGATAGCTTAATTAAAAACAGAATTTTGTAAGATCGGTCCTTATTTTACAAATGTAAAGCTACATACAAAGACAATTACAAACTTTATACCGTTTGAACCTTCGTCTCTGATGTGTTTTCAAGCAATTTAAAGGATTCGAAGTATGAATCCTTTAAGGCTCATAAAAATGCATGGAAAAATAATTCCACAGCCATTTGAGGTAAAATCTCTCACAATCTCTTATTGCAAGATCTTATTGCAAAGAGTAAGATGTATTTATACGGAATGAGTCGAGTCCACATGATTTCCGATCACATGTGACGCTTCAATTATAGGATTCAGAAATAACAATGTTGGTTAATTTTAGCATCTCTCGATGAGAGTGATTCATTTTAGAATGATCTGGAGATTTTTTCCTATTCCCTACATACATAGCGATTGTATCCTACTAACATTTGAGAAGTAAGGTATGAGAATCCTATAGAGAAGTTTTCAATCTAATATCACGGGGTGTATATATAGGGGTTATGCACTGGGAGGTTTTGGATACAGGGAATATCCCGAGGGATATACAATACATCTTTCCGAGGGACCGAAGGGACCAAGGGAAGATATATTGTATATCCCAAGGGATATTTCCTGTATCCAAACCGACCGTGCATAACTGTTGTATTCCATACCTGATGAGGTTTGAAATAATAAAGCATGTATCCCATATGCTCTGGTGTTTACTTGCAAAATATATACTTTCAAATTTTCTTCCAAATTTGTTTTCAACTTTTTTTTCACATTTTTTCCATAATTTTTTTCAGAATTTTTTTTGAGCGGGACATACGATTTATATGTCCCGGAGCTCCGTTGGAGCGGGACATACGAAAAATATTTGCCCGGATATGGAATATATTCCCGGTTGATATGTCCCTGAAACCTCATCAGGTATGGAATACATATGTATATACATTTACATGTTTTTGATATAATAATTTGCTCTGCCACGACTTAAATATGAAATTAGTGTATGAATTCCATTTGTGAATAGGGAGTCCCATTTTGTTCCACCAAATCCCATTTTTCCCGAAACACCTGTCATCTTTTAGACAAGAATGTCAGACCTGAAAAAGGCAGGTATAGGTATTTTCTTTCCGCATTGGTTTGAAAGTATATTTCTATTATAATATGGAATAAGGAAAACACAGATCATTATGAATTCGTTTTACTAACTTATATACAATAACGATTATGTCTCGGTTTGCCCCGGTGTAAAAGAAATTATGGTCCCCTGGGGATTATGGTCCCCTTTCTTAAAGGCCCTTTCTGGCCCTGATTGTGGATACGATAATAAGGGAAAGAGTTGTATTTAGGTCACCATATAAATCAATGGAAAGAAGGACCATAATTTGATAGGACCTCTTACCCTTTTACACCTGTATCCTCGATTTAAGTTCGCTATGTATGTCCCAAGTTGTCATATTTATATATTTGAGACTTAAAATATGGTAAGTATGCTCTCAATATTCATATTATTTTTCTACAATATTCTGCATAATCACGAAGATTGTTTGATGAAAAGAATATACTACTGCCTTTTATGTTTATTTATTTATTTCTATGTTCACCCCTCATAGGGTATACGAGTATACAAAAATAGAATCCAATAATAAATGTCATTCGAATAAAACAGTCTCTGCATTTCAAAAATAAATTTGTTTCTTAAGATCTAAACATAAATTACAGTAGACAGTTAACATGATATGAATAGTTTAGTACTATAAATAAAAACATTGATATACATTCAACCATTTTTACTAGTTGTTCATTGAATGATTTAACTAAACATATGAGTCTACTGTAACTCAATTTCCGGACCTGACCATGTAATGACTTTGACTTGAAGTAAACACGTGTTTGACCCCTGCGAATGAGAGACAAAATTTGCATTGAGCCTCCATATTGAATATTTATGAATGATTTCCCCATTGATACTTCAAATATAAGCCGATTGTAACACTAGCACACAATCAGTGCCTTTAGTAAGACCATAAAACCATGCTAGGAGCTACACACTGTTTACGGTTAATAAATAACCCGATCATAGCTGAACTTGTTCTCGCAAACATGAGAAGAAAATATCTGATATCTCCATAAACAGATAAAGTGTATTCGTTCTCTTATTCCACTACATGTAAGTACAGCTACTTAGTTTAGATATAAATCAGTGGATCGTGGGGATCATGTCTAGAAGAAGGATTTGTGTTATCGGTGCAGGTGTAATAGGTGTCTCCACTGCTGCTAGAATCCAGGATACAATACCAGGAGTGGATATTACCATTGTAGCTGAGAAATTCTCCCCATATACTACAAGTGACGGCTCGGGGGGATTCTGGGAACCACACGTACTTGCTGAAACTCCAATTGAAAAACAACTGTATGTTTTCATCAAGTTAACCTTAATGATAAGTCAACCTTATATTCTACATGTAAAAAACTGGAATAATTTTTGTAATTTCTCTACGCAATCAACTTTCTTTTCAATGGATGTAAACTAAGGTCTAGGGGTGACAGATTAATATGTCAAAATCTTCAAAACTCAATGGACAATATAGAAAGTAACTGATAATAGACATACAAATTCAATTATTAAATGAAAGAATAAATATTAAGTTATCTATTTTGAAACAAATGGTTTAACTATGAGGAAGAACCAAGACTGGGAGCAGAAACACCAAAACATTGTGTGAATTAATGATAGTCTGCTTGAATCTTCCTATATCCTCAAGAATTCAATAATGGAAAAACCTACACGACAGTGAAGGGGCAAACAAACACAATGATCTTTTTTCGATAAGTGGATTCATTTTTAATGCTCACCATTGAATGTACAAACATGTAGTTTCCGTAACAGAAAAATGAAGTTGATTACAAAAGAATTAGATTATTCCAGTTATGGCTGGCCTTGTTTTTTCAACGTACTCTATAGATTTCCTCATGCCAAAAATATCGCCATTTTTATGTATAGAACATGTTAGTACTGCAGTATCCAATTAAATTCAAGGGAATGGAGCAAGGAAACATTTGAACATATTAACAGCTTGCTTGGTACAGCACATGCACGGGATGCTGGATTGAACTATGTGTCAGGATATTCACTGCATACATCATATCAGGAGGTAAGTACGGATGGCATCAATCTAGCTAGTACCCTGGACATCATTTTGAAGTATTGCTTACAGTACATAAGTGCATGTGATTTCGACCGTAAAATACAAACCTTGGAAGTGTTATGAATTCGATGAATTTTTATAGGATCCCTTTTGGAAAGACATAGTATTCGGATTCAGGCATTTGACAAAGAGAGAGCTTCAACTTTATCCAGGACATAGGTAAGTCTCCAAACCCGAAACAAAACATGAGACAGGACATTGTATGGCAAATATCTTTGAGCATGATCTGATCATCAAAACTACATATTTCATTAAAAAGTATTTTCCTCGAATTGTTAATCCAAGGCACCATGGGCTGGTAGAGAAAAACATATTACATTAGTATTTTGATGAGAAATATAATATTTATTGCTAGAATATACTCATGGTTAAAATGTGACTGTCTTTTACTTGCCATACCGTATCCGACCCTTTATAATAAAATGAATATATTCCTCGCGATGTATGTATTAAATGCATTATAGCCATGGCTGGTTCCACACAACATGGGTTGCGAACTGCAGGACATATATTCCTTGGCTGATGGCTCAATTCAGAAGAAAAGGTGGACGCGTCATCAAACGCAAGGTGCAAAGAATTGAAGAGGTACAACAATGCTAAAATGGTCGAGAAAACAAAGAGAGTTGTTATAAACATCACAACCCTATACTAATAGGGTGATCCAATCAGAGAGTAAGAAGAGACCATGTGTAGTATGGCAAGTGATTTTAGACAGTCATATCTTTCACCATGAGTACTTTATGGCCTTAAATACAGTGGCTTTTATTAAAACAATATGTTTTCTTTCAAGTGAAGTCCCCATGATAGTAAAATATCAATCCAACTCTCTGAAAAATCAGGATTAGGGCCCCACCTTGGCACTTTTTGAAAAATGTTTGGCTTATTTCCTAAAAATAGGATCTTGTTTTTCTCAATTTAAACATATCAAAAGTCTCATCTACACTTTATTAACAATTTCTGAAAAGGGGATGGGTATTGAAATGAGTTAAAGTTAAAAACCACATATCCCATGTTATTTTCCCATATGGAAAACTCGTGAAATGCATTGTTTTCAGCATATTTTTGGTCATCGAAAATATATATCTTCAAAACTAGACTTTCAATACTATATTATTTTTGAACATGTCTTAGACCCCTTGTTGAATAATGTTTTCATGCAATAAAAATCAGAAAAATATCCTCTTTTGAGTAAATAGGTTCAATATTTTGAAAAAATGTTGACATGGGGTCCCTATTCATAATTTTTTGAATTGTTTGATTTATATTTTTATCATCATTGGTACTTCACTTGAAAGAAAACATATTGTTTTAATGAAAAACACTGTATTTATGCCCAGAAAGTACTCATGGTGAAAGACATGACCGTCTAAAATCACTTGCCATACTGCACGTGGTCTTTAAAATATAATAGTAAACAAAACAACTACAGGGTGTCCAATAAATAAGGTGAAAGATATTGTAACTTTCTTAATATTGCACCAAAACAAACTTGCCCCGCCTTTTTACTGTTTCGGTTGCTATAGCAACCACAACTCTGGCAAATCAAATAGACGACGCTTTAAATTCACAGAATAAAGGTATAAAGGTTTGGGCTACAAAATTTCATCAAGATTGGTGCAATATTAAGAAAGTTACAATATCTTTCACCTTATTTATTGGACACCCTGTGCTTCACTAATTTTCAGTTTAAATTCCAATAGCCTTCCAGGTTGCACAGCTATATTCCACCTGAGTAGAATAATATGCAATGGAATAATATTTTGTTGTATTTTGTTGTAGCTTGTTCCAGATTATGATATTGTTGTCAACTGTTGTGGACTTGGTGCTTACGATCTACTGAACGACAAAACAGTGGTTCCTGTAAGAGGACAGGTCATTAGGGTAAGAATATATTTAGTTCCTGATTTGAAATGGCTGTAGTTATAGATTTTACCATTTTGTATGCTATGCAACTAAAAATATATTTTTTGGTTTATGTTCTGAAAATCCACTGGACAACAATACTATCTCATACTATAATGAGATTTTCAAATTTACTAGGTCGAGGCACCATGGATAAAACACTCGGTTATAAGCAATAAGAAATTTAGGAGTTATTTCCTACCAAAGTGAGTAATTTGAATTAATACGAGCACATAGTTAAGCTAGTTAATACTGGTGCTATAAAACATCGGTTCAGTTTTCCAAGATTAAATATTCTTCATACTGTACACTTTGTGTCAAATAAGTCCCGTCCCCCTGCTACAGCTAAAACCTTAAAATATGGTATTTAGTGTAATAATACCATTGGAAAGATCATCCAAAGTTACATTAACTCACCAACTTTCAAGTATTTTGGATGGAGCGAACCTATATTTTCATTAAATGTGCCCTCTTTAGCAGCTTTTATTGCGTCAAAATAAGAAGCATTACAGTGCGTCAAGAAGTATTTTCTATTCCACTTCTTACAGAAAAGTCTTCACCACTATCCTCGCCTCTCTATTTTTGGTTAAACTGCTTAAATTTACGTCCATATGCACGAAATTTACCACATTTTTAGTTGAAAATCTTCTTTCAAAATTTGTTCAAATTCGTCATGTTTGTACAACTATAACAACAATATGTCCATTCTCAACCACTTTAAAAGAACCAATGACAATTTACTAGTCAAACGAAAGTCAACAGAGAGCAACAAAGGTAAAAATTGGGCTCAGAAGTGCATCCTTTGAAGTTCGCCAACTTTTTCAATATTGCAAGTATGCCAAATTAAGAGCCGCCAAATGTTCAAAACAGAAAATCCGCCAAATAAGTAGCGCCAAATAAGTTAGAAGTACAGAACAGCCAATCAACGTAACTTTGGACAATCTTTCCAATGATATATCATTCTTGGTACTTGGTAGTGGTACCATATATTTTGGTTTTGGCTGTAGAAAGGGACGTATTACGTACATATTAAATCAGATTAAGCTCAAAACTTTGTGACTATACTGAAAAGTAGGAACAAAAATCATTTTCAAAAAATTGGAGTATTTGATCGAAACGAACAGAATTTTGTGGAACAGAGGGCATGGGATCTTTCTTAAGATCTCAATATAGCAAGCAGTGGATGATGCTCTTCGGCTTCATTTTACAACCTGTGCATCATATAGCTGATCACTTTTTATACTCTCCTCATAATTAAATACACCATACGTATGTACACGGTTTAGGGCTAGTTCTACATCTTGCACTTTTCATTTTAGGTTATCTATATATTTTATAGGCTTGCTCAAACTTTAAAAGCTGACTGTATAAAACCACCTTAGTTAATTCCAGGCCAGTTACATATAAAGACTTATTATTGGCCAATTTAATAGCAGACTACCCGATTTCAGATTTGTTATATTTTTATATATTTTTTTTATATTTTAACAAAATCGTAGCAAACGTGACCACGGCAAGTACAAAAGCCTTTGCCCGATAGTTCTTCACTTTCAAATAATCAATTCCATCTTTAGGTGTCCGGCCCCTGGCAAAAACATTTCATCCTTTCAAAGGACAGGAATCAACTGACATACATTGTGCCAAAGTAAGTTACATGTTTTGCATAACCAGTATATAAGAATATTATAAGAAATATATTGTATTATTTAAGAAAATTTCACTTCCGAATTTAGGTATCAGCGTCTTGGTTAAAACATTTCATCTCATCCGAGGACAGAGATCACGTGACATATATGTTACCAAAGTAAGTGCTATAAAAGATAAACTAAATTAGTTAGCGATCAGAAGTTATCATAAAATCCCGCACATCATCTGACCTTGGTATGGAACTTTGTAAGGGACATGCATTTCTTTTCGGAATCAAGATTTAAAAAATTTGAAAATATTTTTTATTAATCCCCTCCCATATTTTCAAGTAAGATTTCTTATTTAAAAAATTACTTTTAAAATATACTGTCGTAGAATTAAACGCTATGTGCTGTTACACTGAACATTCCGAAACCATACCGTAGATTCTGAAATCAATATAAAGATGGTGTAAGACCGGATGGTTTTAACTATGAAAAACCGCTATACTTTCCTATCCTACCCTTATCTGAACAATAAGCTCAGTTCTACTAAAACGGCTGACCTTTTGGCATTTGGTATAAAGACGAATACATTGAATAAATGAAAAAATGAAATCTATATTCCAAAAAGATTAAAAATTCATATCCCTTGTTAAGATTGGTACTCATTTAATGAATATATGGCAATATATACCTTTACGCACTCATATGTACATGTATCTAAAAAAATAAGTGAGATATGTTTGAAAATATGCACAGTTGTCAAAGATTGTAAAAGGCAAGTACAAATCATATGTATTCATTTCTTTCATAAATGTCAATTGAAGTCTATGTACCACGTATCGTTTTTGCCATTTGATAAAAAGGATTCCAGATATGTAGATAGATATTTTTTTCTTTAATACCATAGATACATCATTCATTGCATCAAAATATATCTAATTTAGTATACATCAAAACACAGTGAAATCAAGTTGTTCTGAACAATCAAGAGGAACATGGAGATTTCACAGATGGATATTGCAATTCACCATCACGGTGACCATGACACATGTACATTTTATTAGCACTGTATTAAGATTGAATACGAATAGCTCTATGAAAAAAGAATGATCACTACGACTTGTGAACACACGCGACCACTATATATATTTCAGTAGTGACACAATTGTTGTTGGAGGGACTGCAGATGAAGGCCAATGGGATACTACTGTCAGCCAAAGCACTAAAAGGGATATATGGGAAAATGCTTGCAAAGTCATTCCTAGCTTGAAAGCAAGTTAATTTTAAAATTAGTAATTAAATTAGTAATTTTATAAAACAATTCTCCCTATACTAGGTAATGATGTAAAGATGCTACGTACTCTGTGCTTAGGCATCTATATTTCATCAGTCGACAGAGGCTCTGATATCCAACTTATTAAAAGATCTTAACATGTATTTATTGTGTTTGGTCCACCAAAAGAGTAATAGTGGAAATACACAAAGAAGCATCGAGCCGTTTTGGTTTGACACTCCAATTTGGCAAACACATGCCTGCAGTAGTAAGATTCTTGTTCGGTAAATGAATACAATTTAATTTAATTCAAATATTTCATCTCTAGGATGCTGTGATAGTTGAGGACTGGGTTGGTTTGAGACCCAGTCGCCCACGAGTCAGGATTGAAATAGAGCACGTGAACTTGAAAAACAGAGTCGTTCCAGTAAGTATTTCACAATCAAGAGGCACCCTTAAAAATTCCTTAAACAATTAACACGATAATAATTAGGCAGGAATACAAGACACTTCAGGCAAATTCATGAAAAAGGTGGATTGGATCAATAATTTATAAAACATGGACTTTCAGAAATGTCATTCTTTACTATTAATCTCCGTTGCTAAAACGCATACTCGTTTCCCAGTTTGATTTTCAATCATATGAACACATCATACCTTTGAAATCCAAGATGGCTCTAAATGAAATCAACCCAATTCACTCGATTCAGTTCATATTTTAATCATTACCTTTGATTATGATACATAAACTTTGGTATAATACATTGCATGGTCTTCATAATAAGTCTTTCTAATGACTAGGTCCCATATGCTCCAATTCATCGACCGGCGCCCGGGCGATTGCAGTATTTTGTTTAAAACTGATTTCAACTTCCCTCAAATTGACCAAACTTTTATTAAATCATGTGCAAAACAATGGCGTTCAGATTAGATTTTACTGTAAGTCAATTGAACACCTCTGTTCCCACTTTCATTCTCCAACATTCGCTTCGATATTTTAACAACACCACAAGTCTTACCTTGTATTCGCGAATGCAACTAACGCCTGTCGGCTACCGGATTAACTTAGTAGTTTATGATCAACTCATTCAAATATGAATGGAATAGTTGCAGGTACTATTCATATTTAAACGACTTTCCAATAAAATGCTAGATTAATCCGGTAGCCGACAGGCGTTAGTTGCATTCGTGAATACAAGCTTAACCTTTTGGCCGGTCCAGTAGTTTTGGTTCGATTAGACATGTTTTATTGTATCTGTATTTCCGGGTGGTACATAACTACGGACATGGGGGAGCAGGTGTAACCTTGCACTGGGGATGTGTAGTAGGGTAAACGGCACTCGTGCAGAGCAGTTTGAAAGATATGAAGGAATTGTCAAAATTGCAAAAGTATTTTATCTGTTTTTCAGGTGGTGCATAACTACGGGCATGGGGGAGCAGGTGTAACGCTGCACTGGGGATGCGCAGGAGAGGCAACATCACTCGTGCAGAGCTGTTTAAAAGATATGAAGAAACTGTCAAAATTGTAATATTATTGTCATCAGACACAACACCAGGGCAATTTCCACAATTTTGACAAAAAGCAAAGCAGGCTATGGACGGTCTATAGGACACTGTATAAAACAGTATACAGTACATAACATCTTTTGAGTCTAATCAGTGGATATACCTGATAAAACGGCTGTCCATGTGCACATTATGGTAGTACTACTGTATATAATTAGTTGCATTAGAACTGTATTACTACTTTATCAAAAAATAATTGTGTAACCTAATATAAAAAGCTTAATTAAAAATAATGTATCGTTTCGGAAAAACTAATATAAATTTATGAAAAACAATTCGAGACATTTAACAATATTTACTAGTTCATTGAATAATGAATTAAACTATCTATAAACATGAATCACATGGTTCAGTTTTTGAACCTGACTATAGTTTCAAGTAAAGCTTTTTGACCCCTGAAATGAGAGAGCCTCCATATAGGCCTATTCAGATTTTATTTCCGATTTTCAAGTACTTCGAATACAAGCTGATTGTATTAACTTTACAATCAGTACCTTTGCAGGCCTACTAAGACCATGAGACCATGCCAAGAGCTACATGTAAATCAGTTACCAGATCTTAACTTGTACATATTTTCGTAAACATACATAAAAAATATTGGCACTGATATCTGTGCAAAGTGTTTTCGTCCACTTTTCTTCACTAAGTACAGCGGTATTCAGACGTAAATGGATCATGTCTAGGAGAAAGATTTGTGTGATCGGCGCAGGTGTTATAGGTGTCTCCACTGCTGCTAGAATCCAGGATACAATACCAGGAGTGGATGTTACAATTGTAGCTGAGAAATTCTCTCCATATACTACAAGTGACGGCTCGGGTGGATTCTGGGAACCACACGTACTTGCTGATACTCCAATTGAAAACCAACTGTATGTTTTAATAAATTGAACTTGTTTGATTGTTATTTTCAAGTTAACCTTAGATTCTACATGTACAAAAACTGGAATAAATTTTGTAATTTCTCTCCCCAATCAACTTTATTTTCAATGTATGTAAGCTATGGTCTAGGGATGACAAACTAATATGTCAAAATCCCCTAAACTCAATGGACAATATAAAAAGTAACACGAAACATATAATAGACACACAAATTCAAATATTAATGATATAATAACGACTGGGAATACTGACATTTGTCCCCTGAGTTGTATAGAGTCCACACTCTGGAGCAAGACTATGTCATCAATAAATGTACAAAAATTGAGTTATGTAAGTGAAAATGAAGGTGATTGCATAAGTGTTAGATTCATTGGCTGGGGATGTTTTTGTTCAACCAACAGTTTGATCTGTTCATAGATTTTGCACCCTGCCTAACTCATCGCCGTGAAAATGTATATAACATGGTAGTACTACAGTGTCCAATTTTCTTCAAGGGGATGGAGCAAGGAAACCTTTGAACATATCAATAGCTTAATTGGTACAGCGCATGCAAGGGATGCTGGAGTGAACTATGTATCTGGATATTCACTGCATAAATCATATCAGGAGGTAAGTGTGGATGGCATCAATCTACGCTAGGTAACATGATTCACATTGCAAAATAAGACCTCAAGAAGTTTGAAAATAGATGCGTGTGATCCCAGAAACCATCATTTTGTCTTAATATGTTTCAAAAACCACTGTTGGAATAAAGGTTTATCATACGACATCTTATATAATATAAACTGGAGTTGTCAAACTTCCAAATGACGTTTTAAGAAAACGCGTTAGGTCATCTTAGTATTGCTGACAACACGATAAAATACAAATATTTGGAAGTGTTATGAATTCGATGAATTTTATAGGATCCCTTTTGGAAAGACATAGTATTCGGGTTCAGACATTTAAGTGAGCGAGAGCTTCAACTTTATCCAGGACATAGGTAAGTCAAAACCCAAACAAACCATCAAAAATAAGACATGAAATTGCAAAATATCTTCGATTGTGACTATATTCCGACCATTAATACGACATATTTTAGGAAAAAATGTTTTTTGGAAGTTCAGATTATTTTCATTATTCAAGGAGCCATTGTTGAGAAAAAACATGTTTTGATGAGAAATATCATTTTTATGGTGAGAAAATGCCCATGACTAAAATATAACTGTCTTAAATAACTTTCCATACCATACCTGGCCCTTTATCTGTTTATCTATTATAAGATAGATAATTCACGATGCGCGGATACACTCACAGAGTGAAACATTCGGGTCGTTCTATCAAGTCATATGGAACAAAGCCAGTAGAGTCCTACGAGTCAATGGAGATGTACCATTCTGTCCCATAGCGAATGTTGAGCTTTGCATATTACATGTACCATGGTATACACTTAACCCTTAAATGGTATTTTGATTTTTACACCCTCTAAAGGATTTTGGGGTCTCCAAAGACATATTTCGCAATAACTTTGCAACCAGAGAAGGTTTTTCTCATTCTGACTTCGGTTTTAAAAATCAATTACCCTTCAGAATATGTATGCATTATTTATCATGAATGCAATGAAATATGTGTAAACCTAATCATAAGGGTCAGGTGTTTCAGCATTTTGCAACATTTCGCAGCAAATATACGTAACACTGTATTAATCAGGAAGCACAAAAAGTCACCAAGCGATTTACATCTGGTTTGTTTTATCTGAAGGGAATTGGATTAATTGAGAATAAGATGGAATTTTATGTTGATAAAATGATTATTTCTGATATAATTATTGCAATGAATGAGTTCGGGAGTCCAAACAGACCCCAAAAAACATTTAAGGGTTAAACATAAAAAATATGAACATAATATGGGTTTGGTTTATGTATCAACATACTCAACCGCCTTACATCAACATTATAATCATAAGTAAACAGCAAATATGCAAAGTATGTCTGAATATAAGCAAATATACTCAGTGACAAAACCCGTATATGCAGTCAGTATTCTCTGTGGATGTTTGTTATATGCAGCTGCATATATTTGTGTTCCATATATGCAGTTACTGACTGCGTTCTGTCAGTGATTATCATTGCTTATAACATGCAATTCGAAGCAAATAAAGACTAGAATTGGTCGTTATTTGCAAGCAATATCCTTCATTTTATACAGTGCTTCAAGAACGGTATCTAGTTTCTCCGTATATAATATAAGCTTATAATATATTGTATCTTATGCATCAATAGCCATGGCTGGTTCCACACATCATTGATTGCGAACTGCAGGACATATATTCCTTGGCTGATGGCTCAATTCAGAAGAAAAGGTGGAAGCGTCATCAAACGCAAGGTGCAAAGAATTGAAGAGGTACAACAATGCTAAAATGGTCGAGAAAACAGAGTTGTTATATATATCGTAAGCCTATACTATCACATTAGAGAGTAAGAAATATAACAGTAAACAAAACAACAATTTCTCTCATTTTCAGCTTAAATTCCAATAGCCTTGCGGGGTGCACAGCTATATCCAACCTGAACAGAACGATATACTTGTCCTATATTATTTTGTTGTAGCTTGTTCCAGATTATGATATTGTTGTCAACTGTTGTGGACTTGGTGCTTACGATCTACTGAACGACAAAACAGTGGTTCCTGTAAGAGGACAGGTCATTAGGGTAAGAATATATTTAGTTCCTGATCTAAATTGGCTTTGCAATATTATAACCATAGGTAGCTATAGATTTAGTTTATTCATTCAATGATGAAAAAAGTTTCGTATTCTTATTTCCCATGACAACAAAAATGTTATAGGACATACTAGTTGGATGGGAAATGGTTAAACAAGCAACTATCTGAACAGCGAACCATATACAAAAGTTTACCTTTCGGACACCCTGTACCATTTTGTATGCTTTGCATCCTAAATATTATCCATACTGTGTTCTGGGTGTCAAATAAGTCCCACCCCCCTGCTACCGCTAAAACCTTTAATAGCTGGTCTCAATTGTAATAAACCATTGGAAAGATCATCCAAAGTTACAATAACTCACCAATTCCCAAGAACATTGGATGGAATTTACCAATATTTTCATTAATGGTTTGTGTGCCCTCTTTCGCCAGTTTTTATTGCGTCAAAATGAGAAGCAATGTTGACATCAGCAATACGTCAACGTTTTTTTCAATTCCACTTATTACAAATAAGTCTTCACCACTATCATCGCCTCTCTATTTTCTACACATGATCCAGGCCTATCTACAAATTGGTTAAATTCACGTCAATATGCACGAAAGGACGATTCTCGGTTTGGAGAACGGTCTCCTGGGCTAATAATTTTTTTCATGAAAAATATAGAAATATTACCCAAATTAAACTATGAATATTCAAAAGAGGACATTTAGATCTAAAAGATGTAAAAATAGCAAATTGGTCTGAAGCAGGGATAACGCTCAATTTGACCGATTCAATAAATTACAAGTCTCGATTTGGGGAAAGAAGTTCATCAGTGTACTGCGCGAATATTCTTTTGCGAAAAATCTAGAAATATTACCCAAATTAAATTATGACTATTCAAAAGAAGACATTCAAATCTATATTATGTAAAAAAATCAAATTTGTCCGAAGCAGGGATAATGCTCATTTAGATTGATGAACTTCGTTCTCCAAACCGAGAATCGTCCTTTTTCAACATATTTGGTTGATGTTTTCCTTTCCAAATTTGATCAAAATCGTCACTTTTGTACAATTACACCAACAATATGTCCATTCTCAACTACTTTAAAAGAGCCAATGAAGATTTACTAGTTAAATGAAAGTCAACAGATAGCAACAAAGATTAAAATTGGGCTCAGAAGTGCATCCTTTGAAGTTCGCCAAATTTTTTCAATATTATAAGTATGCCAAATTAAGTAGCCGCCAAATAAGCAGCGCCAAATTAAGTATAAGAACAGTATGATAATCAATTTCATCTTTAGGTGTCCGGCCTCTGGTAAAAACATTTCATCCTTTCAAATACAGGATCAACTGACATAGATTGTGATAAAGTAAGTTACAAGTTTTGCATTACATAATAATATTATAAAAATAGAAAGTGTATTGTTTAAGGAAATTTCCCTTTCGAATTTAGGTATCAGCGTCTTGGTTAAAACATTTCATCATATTGGAGGACAGAGATCAAGAGACGTATCGATATATGTTACCAAAGTAAGTTTAATTTATTTATGTAGCCTCCAATACTGAAGAATAGTTTGACAATTAAAACATTCCTACACAATACCTTATGCTAATTAAACAATTACAATACCATGAATTATTCATGTATACATGACCAAAATTTAGACGAAAACATATTACATAGATATTGCGAAAAATAGTTAAGATCTGCACTTTTAACCCAAACCGTTTCTGTAACTTAAGTGAGGAATTAAATCGACGATTCTGTTGTCTTCTGAGCTATTTTTTTCGTAAACGTGTACCTTTTCTAAAACATATGATACTGATACACGTTTGTGTGAAAAAATGCCGTGGGGATTCTGCCTACAACGCGTGAAATAAGGAAAAAAAGAAAAATCGTACCTTCGACGTTTCGACATTTTGTTACCGAAACGAACCATTTCGGTAATCAGCGTTATCGACCAGATCACCAGTGTTTACTCCCGTCGAGAGCTACTTAGATTTTGAAAGTATAGCTCTCTATCGCTAGGATCAACAGCTTAAGAATCCTGACTTCAAAGAAAATTTCAGGGAATTCAGCTGACTCATGTTGCACATTATATACCTGAAAATGTATCCTACATCGCCATCTTTCATTCAGCTCAACTATAGAACGTCTCACTGCCCTATGTATCGATCAGGACTTCATTTTATTGGTCGTGTCAAAAGTTTTGGCCAGGTATATTCAATATGGCGGCTTGACGTTTCCCAAGTTGCGCATGCGTCGATAGTATTTCCGTTTAACCGCCATATTGGAAATGGGTATCGAACAAAAAACGATTAGAACTCCTGATCGCCATAGAAGCACATCCGCGATCCTACATGCACGGGGAAAGTAGACACATATGAGCCCATATGTAGGCTACAGTTTGAGACAAACAGCAAGCCGTTGACTGGCGCTGATCAAATTAAGATGTTACAATTCTTCAGCTGGGAGATCCTCACGATGGAGAGCTATACTTTCAAAATCTAACATGGTAGCTCTCGACGTGAGTAAACCAGTGTATATTGAATACGAAAAGCTGTAAAAAGTAACAGAACGATCGATATACAGGGTGGGCCAAAGAATGCCACTTTTTTTCAAAATGCTATAACTTTTTTAAATTTTGATATAGAATCATAATTTGCATACCAAATGAAACTTGAGGTTGTTATCTAGCCATGGACTTGAATAAAACATGTCACCAGCGTAAGACAGGTTGAAAAAAACTTAGCTAACATTTCATTGATACTGCTACATATCAGCAAGGCGACTGAAACTAAAGTATATCATCAATTAGGGTGGCGGACCAATTGAACTCCCCTTTTAGATCAAATATAATCCAAGTTGAAGGACTTGTTACTATATTATAACTAAGAACCCCCCTATATAACTGCAGAATTTGGGGTATGTAGGTTGGAAAATAAAAAAGTTGTAGTGTCTTGAAGAAAGTGGCGTTTTTGTCCCTCTCTGAGTACTGGTACTAGTATGATATGTGAACACACACGACCACTATATATTTCAGTAGTGACACTATTGTTATTGGAGGAACTGCAGATGAAGGCCAATGGGATACTACTGTCAGCCAAAGCACTAAAAGGGATATATGGGAAAATGCTTGCAAAGTCATTCCTAGTTTGAAAGCAAGTTGATTTTGAAATTAGTAATTTTATGGTAAAAACAACTACTCTCCCTATGTAATGATGCAACGTAAACTGGGCCTTGTCATCTATATTTCACCAGTCACAAGAGGCTCTGATATCCAAGTAATTCATAGTACATTAAATTGTGTTTGATCCACCAATAGAGAAAGCGAAAATACACAAAAAAATACACAAAGAAGCATCGAGCCGTTTTGGACATTCCAATTTGGCAAACGCAGGCCTGCAGTAGTAAGATTCTTGTTTCGTAAATTCATACTATAGTTCAATTAAAATAATTTCTAGGATGCTGTGATAGTTGAGGACTGGGTTGGTTTGAGACCTAGTCGCCCACGAGTCAGGATTGAAATAGAACACATGAACTTGAAAAACAGAGACGTTCCAGTAAGTATTACACAATCAAGAGGCACCCTTAAAAATGAATAGACCAGATGCGAGTAGAAGCAATCTTGGTTTACGTCATTAAATATTCAGAATTCAGTCAAAGTGTCAAGTGATGTCATTTTTGAAAGGAGTGGTATCGATATGGAGAACTTCTTGAACACACGTTTCTTTTAGACCATAAAATATATACCAATAAAATCTAAAAAATTTAACACATCTTCAATTTAATGGTCACATGCCACAATCGCACCTCCTGACTGAAAACCCGAAATATTTTGGCGATCGCACCCCCTGAATGAAAGCTGGATACGCCCCTGTTTTGTCTTTGGTTTATCTTGCTATTAATTGCTTCCAAAGCTTCATCAACTAATACTTATAACAAAAACTCTTAAATTAAATTAAACTATTACTACTAGTATGGAATCCATATTTTGAAAATTCTCGATCCAATCCACCTTTTACATGAAACCAACTCGATCCAATTGATCCATTTGAATCAACATTTCAAATTATTGGAATACCAAAAAACTTTGTGATCAGTGGCTGACGAAACGTGTTCACATTTTTTTAAACCCAGAATCTTGAATGCAAAATCTTGAAATGTGAACGCCTTTAGATGGTCTCAAATGGCACTTTCGGATAAGACAGGTGTACAACTCTATGTGAACATTTTTCTGTTCCCATTTTCATTCTCCAACATTCGCTTCAATATTTAACAACAATCAGTTTGAACCTTTTGGTGGCCACAAAGTTATGTGGTCAGTGCAACTGACCAAATGTGAAAAATGCATTTATGAATCTTGTGAACGCTTGTGGTCCCAATGGCGTTCGGATTAGACAAGTTTTAATGTGAATAAGTCAATGTGAACAGTTCTGTTCCCACTTTCGTTCTCCGACCTTCGTTTCGACACTTAAACAACAGCTAGTTTAAACCTTTTGGCCGGTACAAGTGTTTTTTGGATCGATTAGTCAGGTTATCTTGTATCTGTCTTTTCAGGTGGTGCATAACTACGGGCATGGGGGAGCAGGTGTAACATTGCACTGGGGATGCGCAGGAGAGGCAACATCACTCGTACAGAGCTGTTTGAAAGATACGAAGAAACTGTCAAAATTGTAATATTATTGACATCAGACTCAGCTACAGGGCAATATCCACAATTTTGAAATAGACAAAAACAAAGCAGGCTATAGACGGTCTAGTAGACACTCATTGAACAGTATACAGTACAGTTCATCTTTTTGAGTCTAATCAGTGGTTGGACCTGATAAAACAGCTGTTCATGTGTAAATTTTGATAGTACTAGCCTACTGCATGTACTGTATATAATTGCATTTCATACAAACTCAATCTACAAATAAATCTATAATCCAACTTTTCTACTATGGATATACGAAAATAACAGACTGTTAACTTAAAGCAAAAGCTTTGTATTGTATGAGAGTATAGTTTCTGTTAAGTGTTATTCAATGGATATATGTTACGTCTACAAATCAAAGAATCTTGATTCATACACTGCTGCATAAGGTCCAATTAGGATTTCCCATGAATATTCATAGTTTTCATTGAAACACCCATCGTTAAGAAAAAACTGCCTTGTCTTTGCTGTATCATCCTCTCCACATATAATCTCCATGACCTCTTTGTAAACGGACAGCTTTGGCGTTTTGTAGTGTTTCTGTAGCATCTGCATTTCTTCATCTTCGCTATCACTTCGTCCTTCATACACATAGGGTGGTGGAGTATCATCTAAAAATATTTTTGGTCATTTTAAATTGTTATTTTCTTCACGAAAAGGAATTTCTAGCCAAGAGTTTCTCAAAAGAGAAGCTTCAAGACTAATTCTAAAGAGGTGATTAAGAGATAATAAAAGTGTCCGTGTAAAAATGTTCACAAGTTATTGATCAACACTCATAAGAGCACGTGGTACTGTACCTGTGATTTCGTTCAGGTGTGAGAATCCCTCAAGATCCCTCGGTGCTATATCGTACACCTCTGTAGCATACGGAGGCTCCACAATACTTTGAACGTACTGAAAATAAAATACACATTAATGTGATAATACAACATAGCATTAACATGCAAAATGTCACCACCTGTCATTTGCAACAGACGCCAAACGTAGAACACCGTCCACAAGAAACTTCTGGTGGTAACATAAAATTACATATTTGGTAAAAAACGTATGTTTATTGGCAATTAAACCCTAATGCGATTAACTATCATTGTGAATTATTTCCAACTCCAAGGAATTAACAATTGTATTATAACACATTGGATTATATTCATGATTCAAATCGTTATTGGAAATTTGATCTAAAAGGGGAATAAGATCTCGCGAGCAAGCTAGGGAAAAATTATTTCAATTTTAGAATATTTTCATACCATTTCTTGTTATGTTTGTTTTCTAAAATTCCCCAAAGAGCATACTTTATTTCAGGATAACTAAAGATTTTATCAATAATGTATTATTTTTTATAAAAATGGTTAAACCTTACTCACGTCGAGAGCTACCATGTTAGATTTTGAAAGTATAGCTCTCCATCGTGAGACATTGTGACATCTAAATTTGATCAGCGCCAGTCAGCGGCTTACTGTTTGTCTCAAACTGTAGCCTACATATGGGCTCATATGTATCTACTTTCCCCGTGCATATAGGATCGCGGATGTGCTTCTATGGCGATCAGGAGTTCTAATCTTTTTTTGTTCGATACCCATTTCCATTATGGCGGTTAAACGGAAATATTATCGACGCATGCGCAACTTGGGAAACGTCAAGCCGCCATATTGAATATACCTGGCCAAAACTTTTGACACGACCAATAAAAAATGAAGTCCTGGTCGATACATAGGGCAGTGAGACGTTCTATAGTTGAGCTGAATGAAACATGGCGATGTAGGATACATTTTCAGGTATATAATGTGCAACATGAGTCAGCTGAATTCCCTGGAATTTTCTTTGAAGTCAGGATTCTTAAGCTGTTGATTCTAGCGATAGAGAGCTATACTTTCAAAATCTAAGTAGCTCTCGACGGGAGTAAGTCAAACCATATTCATTATTTTGGAGAATTTAAACATTTCCCACATTCTTTGCACTTTGAATCCTGAATAACTTCACCAATCTATAACATATTGCGGATCTCTTGGAAGATATTGTATTTGAGATCGTAAGGAATAGATTTGTAGGTCAGTTGTACATGTTGCTTGCAATTTTGTCATCACGTAGAGATATGTTTCTACCAATTCGCCGGGGTGTGTGTTTTTATTACGAAAATAACACCAGCGAGTATTTACAAAACAATGTAAAACATACGGTTATTGTGTCACTGTAATTGCTTAACGATGACTTTTCCATAACGTCCTTTTCATTTTTGATGTCAGCGTCATCGGGATCAATTGCATCAGTATCATCTTCATATGAATCCCTTGCTGGGTCAAAGTATGGCTTTCCCCTATTAAACATTTCATAAATTTCTTTCATCACACCTAGTAGTTCTGTATTATTTGGATCGTCCCCTTTCTTTACAAAGTCATATATGGGGTTAAGTCTAAGGTAGAGTGTAGCCCCTGCTCTCATAGGGTCTTTGCCAGAAAACCCCCACTGACTACACTTCTTCATTTCTGCCATTCGGGCTACGAAAGCTTGTGATACGTCAGGATACCATCTCTCTTTTCCAATTTTTATACTCTTTCTCCAAATAGATTCGATAACTTCCCTAGCAGATTCTGCAGCAGGTGGATCGAAGCCTGCAATGTTAGGAATAAACTTGCGCCAGAGGTTATCATTTGGCTCGATAAGTTCATTCCATCTCTTGCAAACTCTGAGTAGATTAACTAGGTCCTCCACATTAAAGAGTTGGAATAGGTGTAAAAGAGCGACATCAGGTACATCGGCAAATGTACATGCTTGCTCTGTGTTTGCAGGTTCTATGCTATCTAAAACAAAACAAAAATAAAACAGTGACAGAGCAATGGAAAGAAAGAAAGGCTTTAATACGATATATATTTGAGTTGTAATTAACAATGAATGCAAGGCCGGAGAAACTGGAAAACAGCAGCACCACGGAGTGGCATATCGCACCAAACAAAACTTATTTTGATATTCACCTTGTCATTTTGGACATTACCAGAGAATAGTCGAGCAGTATTGTGTTTTTTGGCAAAATCTACACCCATGGCGTAATGGGCTGCCACATATTGAATTCTTTCTTTAGTCGTATGACCATAAATCATTATCGTATAAAGCATAAAATCCTATAACTGATATGTACTGATATAAAAAATAAGCCATTTTCACCATAAAAAAATTCGAACCAAATCCGTCAACTGTTACCAAAGACTATATTATTTACGAAAAAATGACGGCCATTTTGAACAGAATGGTCATCTTGAAAATTAATTTGTAAATAGAGTTTCTATGACCCCAGGGCATCCAAATCTGTATACTGGTACCCAGACAACATCAAATCAGTCCACTATTAGTGCAGTCAGAATGTGGGTTTCGGCGTGCGTTCAGAGGGATTTTATGGGACATAATTTTTCATGTTACTACTATGATTATACATATTTGTATGGATTATTAGATCTTAGTTTTTCAGCTTTTAGATTTTGTGGCCATTTTACCCCCCATGGGCTAAAATTTGGACCCCTACTATATAATTGGGCAAGAACTCAAAAAATACTCAGTGGAATGTTTCCAAATTACTAAGTTGCATTGGTATAGGCTAATTGAATATATGATAAAAATTTCATGTCACATGGTTAACTGGTTGCCATGGAAATGGATAAAACATGCCCTTCGGGTGTCAATTTTCAGGCCAATTTTTCAGGACTGACAGAGTCATTTCATGCATATTTTGTCACCAATGTGCTAGGAAGGGTTAAAATGTCAATAGAAAACTTCTATAATATATAAGCAACAATTGTATGTAAAGATCAGTCCACAAAACCTCAGATTTTGGCCTTGTATTGGTCCATGACTTATACAGGGGTCTATTTCATAGACTCGAGCTCCCACATTGGATGGATGCTATAACTTTTGAAATAATGGAGATACAGGTCTCATTTTTTCAGATCTTCTTAAATGGTTAGTTTTAAGTATTTTATTTTACTTTGGGAGCTGACATGTGATTGGTTGCCATGGTAACCAGGGTTTTAGGGAAATTCCGACCCCCACATTGGATGGATGCTATAACTTTTGAAATAAGGGAGATACATGTCTCATTATTTCAGATCTTAGACAATGATTGATTATAAATATTAAATTAGACTTTGGGGGCTGAAATTTGATTGGTGACCATGGTAACTAGAGTTTTATTGAAATTTGGACCTCCTCAATTGATAAATGCTTTAATGTTTGAATTCAAGCAGATACAGATATCATCATTTCAGATCTTAAAAATTAATTAGATTTGTGTATTGAATTAGACTTTGTAGCTTAGCATTTACTTGATTGCCATGGTAACCATGTTTCGTCGTCATGGTACCCCTAATTTTTTATTTCAGTCTTACCTTCATTTGAGAATGGTCAATTCACAACATGTTATACCAAAATGCTCAAAATTATCATTTTGCTCTTTATTTCAGCAATTTATCCTGTATGTCTGACAGTATAGCCTCATTCCATTCTACTAGTTCTCACACATATTCAGACTCCCAACTTGTTTTTACTCATCATTATCGTTTTCATCTTCCACAATTGCCTCTTAATTAAAAATATCAACAATTTCTATTGGAAAGAAGGATTCTTTTGACCATTCTTGTGTTAAAGATTCGTCAGGGAATTCACAGTTCATTCATGCAGTGTTGGGCATAATGGTAGAGCTGGGTTTAGGCTGGTGGGAATGTGTCCATACATAGGTTGGATAATTTACCCTCTTCAAACGTGAAAGAAAATGTCAACACCTTCATAAGTGAGGGCAGCACTGTTCTGTTTTTTCTGCATCTCATGGGAAACAGCTCATCTCGTAATCTATTAGTGGCAGTTATTTTTCTATTTCTGCTGTTTTTTGTATTTCTGCACTGGAGGAATCTGATCCAGTAAACGCATTGGAGGCTAAAATAGCTTCACACAGGACTTGGTCCTAGGTTTGCAGCTACAGGGGTTGGGTTGAGCTTCTGACATCTAATGGGACAGAGTTCATATCAGTTGAGGTTCTTAAGGTTATTTTCTTCATAATAGGAATCAATATAGAAATTCCTGACACAATAAAATCCAAAGTTGAATTGTTCACCAGTAAAAGAACAGCAGATTAACAAAAATATATTTGTAACTTACATCAATAGATAACAATATGAGCTGTTTCACATAAGATATTCTCCAAAACAGAACAGTCCTGCCCTCACTTATGGAGGTGTTGACATTTCAACTCTTCCCATCTTTCAAGATTGGTCCTTGACTGCTTTCATAGCAGCTAATATAATGCAATGAATTAAATGATGAACTCTTCCATCTTGTAATGATTGCTCATTGTAACATTTGAAGAGGATGGATGATAAAACTTATATTTGGAAGTAGAAACATTACCCCCCGTTTCCCAGAAGTTCACTGTATATAAACCTTGAGGGGATCCTCAGCTCAGGTGGGTTACTTTTGACATTTGATATGGCAATGGACCCAAATTTTAGGATCTGGTATGAGAATGCTCTCCAAATTATGACTTGAGAGGTATAGCAATGGTCGGATTTGGGAATGGTTGTGAAAAATATGTTGCCCCTCACTTGTTGCACATGTATGGCATTGATCTAGTATATCCTTAATGTGAGGTTGTTTTTGGTTGTTTTCCTCAATGACATGTCTTCTTCTCGAGGCATTAGAAATTTTGAATGGCCATGTTTTCATATCTGGATATTTGGTATGGCACTGGTCATATATTTGGGCATTTGGTATGGCTTTTGGGCATTATTTTGGTTGATATCAGAACACATTCAAATTTGACAGATTGGATGGGAACATATTGATATCTGAGGGTTCAGCCTTGGACACCAGCCAATTTTATATACAGTGAAATCACAGGGACCAGTCTTAACCCATTCTGCCAAGTCCAATACTGCATGAATGGACTATATACCCTGAGGATCCTTATCTCCAGAATGGTCAAAACAATCCTTCATTCCAACAGAAATTGATGTTAAGAGGAAATTGTGCTAAATGAAAACAGTAATGATGAGTTCAAATGAACAAATTAGGAGTCAGAACTTTTGTAAGAACTAGTCGTATGGAATAAGGCAATATTGTCAGACATACATGTATTGTTTACTATTCTAGTATTTGATATTTTATGAGCCAAACAATGTTTGCATCTCTAGTATTATTGAGTCATGAGCATGTAAATCATATAAAATAGAAAAAAAACAAAATTAAGAATAAAATGGTAACTTTGAGCAATTTGGTATTTTATGTCATGTATTGACCTATCTAGAATAAAGGTGAATCTGAAAACGAAAACAGCAGTTACCATGACAATGAAACATGGTTACCATGGCAGACAAATAAATCCTAGCTTCCAAAGTCTAATACAATACACACATATTATTATTATCTTACATCTGAAAAGATTATCTTATCTGGCTGTATTTAAGAGTTATAGTGTTCATCAGTTGTGGAGGTCTGAATTTCAACAAAACCCTGATTTCCATGGTAACCAATCAAATTTCAGCTCCCAAAGTCTAAATCAATACATTAAATCAATCATTGTCAAAAATCTGAAAAAATGAGACATGAATCTCCCTTATTTCAAAAGTTATAACATCCATCCAATGTCGGGGTCAGGATTTCCTTAAAACCCTGGTTACCATGGCAACCAATCACATGTCAGCTCCCAAAGTAAAATAAAATACTTAACAAGGCCAAAATCTGAGGTTTTGTGGACTGATCTTTACATACAATTGTTGCTTATATATTATAGAAGTTTTCTATTGACATTTTAACCCTTCCTAACACATTGGTGACAAAATATGCATGAAATGACTCTGTCAGTCCTGAAAAATTGGCCTGAAAATTGACACCCGACGGGCATGTTTTATCCATTTCCATGGCAACCAGTTAACCATGTGACATGAAATTTTTATCATATATTCAATTAGCCTAGTGCAATACAACTTTGTAATTTGGAAACATTCCACTGAGTATTTTTTGAGTTATTGCCCAATTATATAGTAGGGGTCCAAATTTTAGCCCATGGGGGGTAAAATGGCCACAAAATCTAAAAGCTGAAAAACTAAGATCTAATAATCCATACAAATATGTATAATCATAGTAGTAACATGAAAAATGATGTCCCATAAAATCCCTCTGAACGCACGCCGAAACCCACATTCTGACTGCACTATATTACTTGAATTATCAAAGATTACATTTTTAACCAAAATTAGTGGCCATTTCTACATAATTAGTATTATTACCACCGTTTATGTACAGGGCATAAGCAAGAACTCAGTACCACTGAACGAAAATGTGCAAGCCTGTTTTATCTTATGAATCCCAAAGTGATTGACAGGCGGTCAATAATCAAATACTTCTACACACATACAAGTAGATACTCAGTATTTTGCTATTATAATTTGATGACATATCAATCAAAGGTATTAGAAAAGGTTGATGATATATTAGAGGAAATATACTACTCGATCATTTCCCGGATATCGTTGATATGGGTGAAGACATTTGTGATACCTCCGTCTCCATGCACATATGAATTGCTGTAGGTCTGTATCCCTACTATCTCAATATACCGGGAAACAAATACTTTAATACTTACAAGTTGATTTAAGTTGAGGTTTCTCTGGATGCAGAAACAACTGTAGATGGTTCTTGTTTGTTCGAAAGCATTTGTCCCAATATCTACACTTTCGTTTAGGTCCACCACTTTTAACCTGTGACGCAGCTTGACGTGATGAGCCACCTTTACCACTTATCTTAAATGAAACGAGACAAATGCTATCTTTGTAGTTGACTTATAAAGTATAAACAAGATTTGTTTATATTACAGTCTTGCCAAATGATATCAAAATGTGGTAGTTCATGTACACATATTGTAAAGCAATAATTACAACAACGCTTAATAAACATCCTAACATATTTTTGTTGTAAGTTGTTGAAAATTAGAAATAACCTCATAAGCAAAGAAAAGTGGTTCGGAAAAAAACATTTCAAAATTTTAGTTTAGTTATAATTTGAATCCAATGGTACATAATGATTTGAAACATGACAAAAACCTATTTTCAGTAGAGGTGGGCAGATAATATTGCTTTATTTAAAAAGTTTAGCATATTTAGAAAATATTTGTAAAAGAAAAAAACGACAATTCTTAGAAAACATATTTTGCCACCTGAGTGACATCCCAGCCTATCGACCTCACTAAATAAAATGCCTCTAACGTTGCATACAATCAAAGATTGAATGATTGGAATAATATACATATGCATATTGCCAGATCTATTCAATGTTTCTAAAATGGCGGGGAATTCAAATATTTTAAAACATTAAAATGAAGAACTTTTTTTCGAAAGTCTTTATTCAAAAAATATCTTAAATAGTTTTTCAAGTCATAAAAAGTAATATTTGATGACAGATTAGATAATACAAACTTTGCATATTTTGAAACATAATGTTTTGCTTGGATGAGAAAGCATAAATTGACAATATTAAATCATGCTACATTTTATTACATTGCTAGCAGTATACGTAAGTAAATAATTACCACATCGTCCCATTCGTTCTCTGTTAAACACTGTATACCTGAAATAACATAAAACACCTTTTTTCTTATAATAATAACTTACAGTTGTTAGGGCATCATTTAAAATACTCGTCTGATTATATCTAGGTTGATCTTAGATTATATCCACCTTGCGATACATTTCAGGTGAATAGTCTTTGAAGTCGTAAATATAAATATGAATCAAAGGGAAATATTTGCAGAATACGATGATCCAAGTAATAATAAAAATAGGACAAAACATACCTAACGCTTTTGCTTTGTCGGCCTTCTGGCCTGCATTTTCCCCAATTACAACATAATCTACTGCCTTGCTAATAGATGCCGCCACCTTACAACCACGTGTCTCTGCAGCTTTAGTTGCTTGGCTACGTGTTTGATTTGTAAGTGCCCCTGTGAACACAACCTTCTTGCCTTTCAGATCTACATCGATTTTAACATCTTCTTCTTCAGATTCCACGTCTTCGCTATCAGTATCGTCCATTTCAGGGCTTGGCAACTTTCTATACTTGGCTGACTTAAAACTCAACTGTAAAATAGAAAACTCATCGGAAAAAGTCGTATGTACGATATTATGAGTTAAATTAACGTTTGTTTGTGTGATTCATTATGTATTTAAAAGGAGTCATAATCTCGTATCAATTTATTTGAAACAGAGGATTTTGATGTATCAGATTACTAGTCATGCTTGATTTATTAGCGTGATACCAAATAAAAAGTATGCTAAAACTCATATCTCAGAAAATACAAACTTATAGTAGCAGAAAAAGCTAATGGAACGCTTTGTATGAACTGTGATATAAATAAATGAAATGGAAATTGTCTGAAAGTGGAGATAATTACCACATCCGCCCATTCACTTTGCGTCAGACACCTGATTCCTGCAATTATACCATTCATTGTCAACTTGACTTTTAATCACAATTTTCAAGTAGATTCTGAAGTTTGTTTCATTCAAATGTATCGTAAATAATTGCTCAACATGATATTAAGTCTATTTATAGTTAAATATACAGCGTTAAAACGTGACATAACTTTAACTAGACATTTCAGAATTGTAGGGTAAGTAAGTATGCAGCTAGACAAGTGAAGTTGTTGTTACTGTTACCTAATGATTCTGCCTTGTCTGCCCTCTGGCCTGCATTTTCCCCAATTACAACATAATCTACTGCCTTGCTAATAGATGCCGCCACCTTACACCCATGCATCACTGCATCTTTGGTTGCTTGACTATGTGTTTGATTTATGAGCGTTCCCGTGAATACAACCTTCTTGCCTTTCAGATCTAAATCAGGTTCAGCACCTTCCTCATCAGATTCCATATCTTCGCCATCATCCAACTCAGAGCTGTCTAGCCTTGCTTTCTTTGTTGAATTGCCACCTTTCCTTGATAAATTACCCCCTTTCTTGGCTGAATTCCTCTCTTTCTTTGGTGAATTAATACATTTATCGGCTGAGTCACCATCTTCCTTAGCTGAATTTCCACTTAGCTGCAAAACAGTGAATAACATTTTCAGTCGATCCATCTACCCTCAGAGTCAGACCAATCTTGCAGTTGAATATATTGCGGTTTTATTGCCATGTAAGCTTACTGCATGTACTTTTTTGCTTATATATTTATGGAGAGTACACAATCTTAAATGTATTAACAATGATAGGAGATAACAATATATGATACTGTGAAGAAATCATATTTAATAAATTTACACTAGTGATGATACTTACCACATCCGCCCATTCACTTTCCGTGAGACATGTGATTCCTGCAAAAAGCACTAATATAGTAATACATTACTTCATTGATCGACTAAAACATTTTACTAATACATTCTCTCAAATAATAAATTTATTTGTATCTCATGAGTTTTGTAAAATGATCTTCGGTGTCTATCCAGAATCACTAGAATTCAAAAAGGGATTCCGCGATGAGATGACCTTGTGTATCCTAAAAAAATCAAAACTGATGGACTGAGTGTATGACAAAAAGTTTTAAATAATTACCCAACGATTCTGCCTTGTCTGCCTTCTGACCTGCATTTTCCCCAATTACAACATAATCAACTGCCTTGCTAATAGATGCCGCCACCTTACATCCATGCATCTCTGCATCTTTTGTTGCTTGGTTACGTGTTTGATTTTTGAGTGTCCCTGTAAATACAACCTTCTTTCCTTTCAGATCTAAATCAGATTTAGCACCTTCCTCATCAGATTCCATATCTTCGCCATCATCCAACTCAGGGCTGTCTAGCCTTGCTTTCTTGGCTGAATTACCACTAAGCTAAAAATTAATAGTAAAGATATCTTTTTCATGTTAATCATTCTAGCAATAAAGTATTTTTGTTATGGTTATGAGAGCCTGATTTAAGTTATTCAAACTAGTTTTGAAAAAGTATGTTACATTTACCATATCCTCCCATTCATTCTCCGTGAGGCACTTGATTCCTGCAATATTATAGGTCACAGTATAATAATATTTGACTTGGCTTATGAGTAATATCAACTACAGAAATAATTTTATCCAGAGCCAGACGGAGTGTGGAAAATCACAAACCTAGAATATTATCAAGAATAATAAAAGCAGAAAATCTTACATACATTTTTTGATTATTAATAACCTACTTATCGAATGGAAAACAGAGATAAGACCAACATATAATATAATACTCTTGTAGCTCGGTTTAGTGACGGTTTCAAAACAATCCATACGGATAACTACATGCATTACAATATTAGTGATACAATTTTCATGCATTTTCATTGTAATGTATCTTCACATAATTACCTAACGATTCTGCCTTGTCTGCCTTCTGGCCTGCATTTTCCCCAATTACAGCATAATCTATGGACTTGCTAATAGATGCCGCCACCTTACAACCACGTTTCTCTGCAGCTTTGGTTGCTTGACTACGTGTTTGATTTGTGAGTGTCCCTGTGAACACAACCTTCTTGCCTTTTAGATCAGCCATCGTCACATAAACCAACTAATGCTTGAATAACAAAATTGTATGAAAGATATGACTAAGGTATCATTCATAGTCTCAGGGTGTCCGGAAAGTAAAGATACAAATGCTCTCACTTCAATAGATTTACCTGTTATGAGATGAAATTACTACAGATTGTAGAATGACATTATAACAATATATCCTGCAAATGTCATGATGTATGGTTCCAAAATAAAAAAAGTTATGGTTGTTATGGTAACAAGAGCCGCGGGTATGTGGAGCAGTGTCACAATTATGTTTTATAATTCTTTTCTCCAGTTCATATCATCTGGACACTTTGTCATCTGTTGCTATAATATATCAAATTATGAACCGCAACAGCAAAAGGATTAGTACTGTAACATTATTTAGTAATTGGCATTACTTCTGTTATCCAGTATTATATATTTCCCACCATCATCTTAACATTCTTGGTGCATTTTGACCGGAGATTCCAAGACCTGACAAAACCGCCGCTGCCCATCTCTAAGATTGCTGCTAACATTGGCGTCCAGCCGGATCTTGTTTTCATGTTGAACTTCTAACAAATATTGCTTTAATTAAGATATTCATTAATGTAGAAGTCCAACGGGACATTATCAGACAAATATTGACCACTGTACAAAAAGGTTTAATGTCAAGACATTCAATTTTAAGATTTGCTATCTTTGTTTTGTGATTTTGGTGCATTGACTGTGGAGGTGCAATATTGACTTTTCTATTAATCCAGGGACCCTTTTTCTAAGCATTTATATACTTTTTCTTCGATTATACTGGTGACATTACATAGTTCTGATATGTATCAATGATATCATTAAACTAAAGAGAATACTATGGCAGCAAGAATACAATATTGAACAAAACAAAACATTGATAGGGAATACCATCATAAACACTGTTTCAAATGGTTATATTTTGGCAATTTATCGCAATTTAGTGATATCCTGGAACTGCTCCGCATACCCCTTACAACGGTTACCCTGACAACCATAACTTTAGGACGTTTAGACTGTATGTTATAAAAGTTGGTAGATGTATTGTAATAAAGTTCCTCTACAATCTGTAGCAATTTCATTACACGACAACGAAGACTCTTAAAATGAGAGTATTTGTATCTTTACTTTCCGGACACCCTGTAGTCTAATACAGGTGCATAATAATGATTTTGAATCGGAAAGACCGGTGAAGACTGTTAGAAGACTGTGTTCATTAGCAGAAATTCGAGTGACGTCTTAAATAGTTATCTCCCCACCAGGGTTATCTCGTACCAAGACCATCTCTTCAAATCTTTAAGGAGTTCATTCTAACCACGGATTTCAAGTCCGTATTCTTACATAATTTACTAAAATATTTTGATAACTTGAAATAAAAACACCAGTAGTTCATTTCTCCAAATTCGTGGTAAAACATTGGCAAAATTTAGCATTAGTCTTTGCCACTTTGGGGCACGTATCAAATTCATCTATGGAACACGTTAGAATTCATGAAAATGGCAGAATTAGAAGATCATCTTCTCTGGGTATTAGTCAACAACAGGTGAATGACATGCATTGTCCCGGGAAAATAAATTAAAAGGGAGTTTCGTCCAGTGTGCTATTGATTCTAAACATACTTCCGGGTTTATCTCTGCAGTTTCTGGCCACGCAGCATTCTACGCACCAGATTATCGTACCAGAGGACCCATGTTGTTTCTCAATGCTAAATTGTATTGGTTTCATCGGCTGTAAGGATTGGCCCATAAAACTAGTGAACTGAGCAGGCCTCATCGAGAAACACATGACGACCGGTCCGGCGACCGGTCCTCACAATCTGCTGCCTTTCAAATGAAATCTATCCACTAACCACATGCATATACAACAATATACAATACCTTTATTCCTACGGGGTTAGGCTAGGTCATTGTGCTCCAAGACCAAGAGCAATACACATGTAGCTGGTGAGCCTCAGAATTCACGGAGTATATTTCACCTATTTAGCTTAATACCTTCGTTCAGCGCATTTGATGCATTTCTCGGACAGCCCCGGGGAATTTCTTGGTAAGTACATTTGCTGAGGCCAGTGTCTACAATACCATACGGTTTAAATCAAATCTTTGGTTATGGTGGGCTATTTTAAATGCGTTCACTGTATCGATAGTCATATTTACTTACTCGAGTCTCTAGCTTACAGCTAGACGTAACTTCATTGATTCCGTATGTACTGTGCTACACGCACCTACACGCACCTAGAACTCATTTTTAATAAATTTTATAAATATTTTTTAGAATATTAATCATATTTAGGATGAAGCGTTGTTTGTCTGGATTTAGATATTTCAAAATTTCATTTCGGAGTTTGAAACATGTTGAAATTTTCTCGCTGTAGCTAAAAATGGCTTCCGGTTCTGGACGTGAATAAAATTTGAAATTATTCTCGCTTAAAGAAATCAAATATAACAATAGATTCAGACGGGGATGTGAGCTGTTGTTCTTCAAATCTATACATAAAGGTATATTTCATATTATTATGCCATATTTACTGTGCGTGTGACACAATGATTTACAATATTTATAATACTAAGGCAGCTCAATCTTCCTCCTCAAAGCCGGAATATAGAGAAGGCTTTGGACCGAAGTAAATATTTACAGTCCTGTTTGACTAAACTGTGTATGACGGTTGGATGATTTTGAAAAACCGAGATCCCGTTGTAATATATATATACAGACATATTCATGCACTATGAAAGCTTATGTTGATATTATCGAGCAATATTCACTGCATCATGTTGAGCAGTACTTGAGGATGGCTATATTTGTATTATGATTCACCTTGGAAAAAGTGTAAACAAAGCTCCTAATTGCGACATTTCAGACTCTCTTTCTATGATTGTGAAGCGAGGAAACTGTACTTTCACGTCCTATTGCAAATTGTAGCTGTCAGATCCCAGACAAGATCAGATACAGGTAAGATTTATATACAATACATCCGACATCTATCCAAACAACATTTGTGTAAGTGTAAGCTTAGAGGTTAGAGGAAGTAAAGCCGATAACTAAAATTATAATGCTAAAATCACAGTGAAACAAGCTTGTGCGCGAATGCAATTTTCGGCTGTCGGCTACAGGATTAAGGTGCTATGGAAGTTAACAGGAAATGACGAAACAAAAAATGTCAAAATCATGCTGGATTTTGAAAAAATTTTGAACCAAGATAACAGAGTTCTCTTTGGACCTCCAGTCAGTTTAACTAGTTCCACATATTATTTACATGACTGGGAACACAATGGAAATTGTCAGAATGACCATAGACATGATGAAATAACCTTTTCAGCCCTCTGAAAATTTGATTCTGAAAAATAGCTAAGAGTAGGTGCGCAGGAAAAGTCACTGAACAGAATCTTTTTACTTTTTCAGAAAATGTGCCCAATATATTGCTCCAAATGATACAATTTAAAAAAAATCATATCATTCTTAGAAAAAGAAAAAAACTGAAAAAACTGAATATAAAATCGACAGCCATTATTGTTTCAGAAGATTTTTTAAAATTTCAAAAATTCTATCATTTAGAGCAATATGTTAGACACATTTTCTAAAAAATCAAAAGATTCTGTTCATTGACCTTTCCTGAGCACGTACTTTTACCTATTTTTCAGTCACATTTTCAGAGGGTTGAAAAGGTTATTTCATCATGTTTATGGTCATTCTGACCATTTTCATTGTGTTCCCGGTCATGTAAATGATATGTGGAACTAGTTAAACTGACTGGAGGTCCAAACAGAACTCTGTTATCTTGGCTCAAAAAATTTCCAAAATACAGCATGGTTTTGACATTTTTTGTTTTGTCATTTCCTGTTAACTTCCATAGGACCTTAAGGTCAGGGTGCACTTTTGATGAAATTTCATGACCTTGTGCTTTTTTCAGATAAACAAAACATATTCCACACATCATCTACATCTTTCATTCTTGCACAAAAGATGCATCAGTGTACCTATACCTAGAGGGTTGATCAATTCTTCAGAATGTTTGAATAACTGGAAAAAATTCCAACATGCACCATGGCCTTAACCCATTTAAATAAATTAACCCGTCAATTAGCGAATAGGTGAATCAGGTACCGGGACTAGGCAGGTACTATTCATAAATGAGTTTGCCATCAAAGTATTAAATAAATGATTAAATCCGTTATTTGAATACCAGCTTCAGGGGCGGATCTGGGAACCAACAAGGGGGGTTTAGGTCTAAGAAAAAACTTATGGAAATATTGGACCCCTAAAACCAAATTTGAAATTTTGAGGCCCATTTTCTTCAAAATTTGGCGTAAACAAAAGATAAGGCTTTAGAAGGTCCAGTTATGACGAAAAGGCCCACTTTTTGGGGGTTAAGGTCTTTTAGGCCCAATTTTTTTTCTTGGCCCATCCAAAGGGGACGGGCTCCTGGCCTCCCAAGATCCGCCAATGAGCGTAGACTTGCATTTTATTAATCTTGCTCAAGACCCCCCACCACTAGACTATATCCTCTAGTCTGAAATCGATTTTTAAAATTTGAAATGAAAATATTCAGACTATAACCCATATATGTTAAAATTTGATATTAAAATTTTTTTAGTCAAAATTTCAGAAGGCTGAATAAGCTATTCCATGATGTTAAGTGTCTTCCTCACCATGACCATTGTGATCCTGGCCATATAAATGGTACATGGATGGAAGTCGAAAAACTGACGGAAGGTCAAACCATAACTTTGTTATCTTAGTTCAAAAAATTCAAAATCCTCATGCTTTTTTTTATTTACTGTTTGGTGTAAATTTCTGATAGCTACCCCGAGATCTTAATCAGAAAGTGCTATTCAAAAGGGTCGATGGAGTAAATTAATTTGCATATGATATTTATTAGCATATTCTCTAGCTTTATTTCCACTTGAAAATATGCTTTGTCATTTTTATAGCATTTAATTGTACCTTACTACTTGATTGAATTGAGTGGGAAGTAAAATTTCTTAACCTGAATTGATTATTTTGTGCAAACAATTTCTCTGCAATTTCCACAGGACAGTAAGGTTGACAGATTGTTTAGTGTTCAGTCTGACGGATGCAAACTACCCCCCTCCCTCATTCAACAACATGGTCTTGTAACCAGCAATGTTGTGTTAAAATTAAAGCAGTTTATTTTGACTAAGTACAATCAGTCAACTGTATGATTATCTATTTACAGAAATTTGACATTCACGAAAGAAGCGCCAACTTAACTATGAGTAACCAAGGGTACGCTAATCTCGAGAATGACGTTCTGACCCCGCAAGAGGAAAAGATAAGTGGTTGTGTACCAGAAGGTCCAACGACCAACCAGGCTGTACTGAGCCACCCAGTTCTCCCACCGATGAACATCGCTCCTGGAGGGCATCAAATACAACCACCGACGAACCAAGTATTGATGTCTCAGCCACCATATCCATCACAACCCATGGTGGCAAATGTACCTCCACGATCTACGTACACAGTGGCTCCGACTTCAGTCGAACCGATAAATACTAATCAAAACTACGCCACAGGTTCAAGACCTGCATGGGCCCATAATAGTGCAATGGGACTAAGCATCACCCTTATAGTTTCTGGCCTCATCATGTTCATCATGAACATCATTGGCTTGACAACAGGTGTCAAATTCGCCGTCAGTGGAGCTGGTTTTTGGGGTGGCGCATTGATGGTAATCACTGGTGGCATTGGGGTATGTGCATCAAAAAGAAAGTCTAACTGCACAATCATCAGTCTGATGGTCCTCGCTATAATTCTGGCTGTGTTAAGTGCCTGCATATTTGGGGCACACACTGCAGGCACTATTGTTGCATCAGTTGATGACATAGAATACATGGATGAATATGACCACTACCACTTCCACGATTACGAGTCACAAGACCGCCATGCAGGACAACCTCTAAGAATTGCTTTTAATGCAATTATGACAATATTTGCATTGGTAGTGTTCCTGGTGTCTATCATAGCTTCTGCCTTGTCGTGCCGTGCAGTGTGCTGCCGATCCAACTCGAATATGATGCAGGTCGTGTATGTTCCAGCCACTGGATCCTGTCACGTGGCCCCACTCGCCCAGGGCCAGTTTGTGCCACACGGGGGAAACCTACAATTTGCCTCTTATCCACCACATGGTCAGCTTCAGTCTCAGTACGTTCAGAACCAGGGGACGGTGGTGGGGCAGTCCCAAAATATGACGGCAGCATTTTCACCGCACACTAGAGCAAATGATTACAACCCCGTTCACACACAGCGAGCAGACGAACAAAATACAAATGCAGCAGGATGTGAAAGTAGTCCTCCACCGGCTTATCAAGTATCATAAGAAACTTATGGTTGTCGTTGACTCATCGGTCCATTAACCTTCATAAACATTGAATTGTAACAAATGGATAATGGACGTGACTGAAGTTGAACCAAATGAAGTGATTCAGAGTGAATTTGGAGATATTTTAAACAGCAATGATGGGGAATGAATAAACCCACAGGCTCAAACTTTTTAGCGAGCTCATCGCTATGAGCAGTTATACAGTACACAAAGTACTGGTAGTTTTATTATAGTAGGAGTTCTTCATCTATGTGCATATACAGGGGACACGGCATCATGTTAAACCATGACATCTCATTTCTTCTCAGCCCTGAGATCATGTTTCAGGTGAAACAGAAAGATGCCATGAGTATCAGAATGTATATCTGGTATATAGGGTGACACAAAAGATGCCACCCACTAATTTTAGAATATCTCCTAATAATAAGTTCTCAATAAAAATTACTTGACAACTAGTTTAGGTAATTCAATATATTACTAGTGATATATTAAAAAATGTTTAATATTTTTTGTCCCTATGGAGGATTATTTTCAAATGTGAAATACATGTACAATGTACATCAAGATTCCTAATATATCGTTTACAACTTCGCTTTAGAGGAGAAAACATCAATTGGAGAAAGGGGTTTGACTGCTAGAGGGAAGATGAGGAATGACTGGTCACATGACCTAACTGATGATTAGTCTTCCCTGTTAGCAGGGACTTTCTAGAGAGGGCTAACACAACCAAATGCTATAACATGCGTATTCCCATCTATATGATTTGTCTTTCAGAGAAAACGAAGATTTGTGGACATGTTTTGCTATTATACGATCATACCCCAGTATGTCCTTTGTCAGTCAAAAAAGTTTGAACCAAAACTCCCAACGAAAATAAAAAAATCTCACCTGTTGAATACGCCATCTATAGAAAATGTCAAAAATTGTCACTCTGATTTTGACAGATGGAGGCATTAAAAAAGGTCAAAATTCTTAAAGAAAATGCACCTCCATCACATCAAATCATGTGTTGAGTCATCTCAATACAAGTTTACATACAGGTCATCTTTGAACTCTGGGGTTAATCCCTCTGGTCGGGAACACACAACCAAATGATCCTTCCTCGAATAGATGGCATTTTAAAAGTAATAGTCCAGTTATTGTAATTACACCAGCATTATATTTCATTTTGTTCTAAAGTAGTTTGTAGTTAGTTAGTTGTATGCTTTGTATATGACCCTTGATGGGGATTGAAATACAATAAAGCTAATAAATTTGAAATTTGAAATTTACCATCGGTTAGATTTTGGTAAGTCCATAAATGAAAACGGGTTTGAATGGACCAACACATGATTTGATATGATTAAGGTGTATTTTCTTTGAAAAAATGACCTTTTCGATCTGTAAAAATCAGAGGGATAATTTTTGACAAATATTTATAGATGAAGTATTCAACAGGTGAGATCTTTTGATTTTCACTGCTGGGATTTTTCCTGAAATACTGTTAAATTGACTAAAACTCGTCCAACATTTCCATTGATTTCTGGATTTGTCCAGCATTTGGTTGTTTTCCCCGTCCAGTTGCCCATGCCATCAGCATTTCTTGAGGTAAAGGATGTTCAATCTGTTGGACGCACACTTCAAGCAACTGGTCATAATAATTTCCGAGTTAGGCTTCGGTCATTTGATTTACAGTAATAGCCCCCGTCAATACATGGTTAATTTATATCCTATGATGCTGAAGTGAATTCGCAATGCACCTAGTAACAGTCTTGCCATTCACTTGGCATACAGTAAGTTATAGAAAGTAGGAGGTAAAGGCATCGCAGACTGGATATCTCACCTAAAATTGTGAAAATCAGAAATACAAGGATTCCAGAAGCTGATTCTGAAAATAATCAATTGTAAGGAACGGGACCGATCGATCAGAGTTTATATTTTTTTTGAATATTCAATACAATATTCGCAAGAAACGTATTTCCAAGTAGAATAGAAATCAAGACACCCATCTCAAAATAATGGTACTGTGATTTTCAAACCATGGTAAGTTGCTTTTAATAACGTTTTTACTTTCTAACTTCCATATGATGCTCAAATAGACTAACATATGTCAGTTTGTAAAGGATACCAATAGGTGATAGGTTCAAATAAAATACATATTCTACTTAACTTGTATGCTTTTAGATTTGCCAAAGGAACGTAAAATGATTTCATTTTTATCTAAAAAAGACATGACATGAAAAAGATGACATGATTTTATATCATCACTTGGTGAAATCTATAAAATAATATATAAAAATATGTTTTATTTTCGGATATTTGTGTAAAAAGATGCGTAATAATACAGTATATTCATTCAGTATTGTAATTATTATTATATTATATTCTGAAGGAAAAATATAATCAGCATAATATACTCTATTATATAGAGATTGATATAATATAATTAAAAATAAGTGAGATCCCAATATGTTATTTGTACATATAAACATTTACCAAGTCCGATTATCTCAATAAGAAAATGTAGCAGGATGTTTTAAATTTATTCCCGGTGTAATATTCTTTTTTAGAATTATTTGCGCCAATTTATATTTATTCTGTCTTTCCATAATATTATATGGTCGTATTTATCAATCCAAACCTAAGATGATTGCAGTTTATTTAGAATTTTTCTATTCTAAAAAATGTTATTTACTAATATTTTCCAATCTAAACAGAATATATTTATAGAATAAACAGATAAAATGAATTCACGTTCTAAGCTTTCAAGCTCATAAAACAAAAAATCGGTGTTTTTCTATTCTAATTACAGGTGTTCATTTTTTAGGAATCAATATTTTATTCTTGATTTCAATATGCAAGCAACTATTCACATCGAATTTTTAGTTTTTATACCTCCAAAATTAGATTTAATCTAGTGATTGTGGTATAGATCCTCATTTTCAAATTGATTAATATCTATTCACACATAGCTAGGCAAGGCGTGTCCGATTCCAGCCAATCCGAACTGAGTATTCACATAATGAACAGTGTGTGAAATATAAATAATACATGCAAGGTCACTAGTTAAACAGTTGTCATGGTGATGAATGGATTTTTCACATTGGATTTGAAGACTTGCCAACTTGACCCTTGGAAAAAATTTCATTGAAAATGTGCACGCCTGGTGATCGTACAAAATGGATGGATTAGGCGATTTCTGCAAGAACTCAACAAACTTGGAAGTTTTATTTTTTCAAGAGAAGATGAATAGGCGCAGTACATGGCAAAATATGTTAGGTCATCTAGTATTTTTTTTACCTGATACCCTTCTAAGATATGAGATCTGTTTAAAAGGGCGCATCATCACCAACGTGCAAAAGTCAATGTTTTTGCTATAAATCGGGCAACAATGGTCTACACGACTTGTAATAAATAGCTAGGTATAAGGGACGTTATTGTCACAATAATAATGACATTGCTCACTTTTTAAAGTTAGTTTCCATGCGTTATACAAAAATAGATTAATATTGGATGGAGGGGGGGGGGATAACGTGTTCATAAGACATGATAAGACATGCTACTTGAATTTATTCTTATGACTCCAAATTTTCCCATTTTTCATTCTCCAGAGATATAATGTCCAGTTTCTTACTTGGGTACTGAGTTAAGTTTTTTCAAATAACGAGTTCTTGTGAATTTGTTCCATCGTAAAGACATATCCCCCTCCATCCAATACCAATGCATTGAGTCTTGGGCTTAAATCCTTTAGTGAAATGTGAATGTGTGGCCAAACGCTTAACAGAATTTTAACATTATTTCAATAATTGAGATTATTAAGATTATTTCTAAAGATTGTGTCTATCTTTGATACCTTATACAAGAAATTTCTGATTTTTCGTATATTGCGTTTGTTGCATCCATTGTTTTGAATGTAATAGTGCGCCTAAGATGACTCCACTATAACTAATTTAGAAAACTGCAGCTGACACTGCGCAGTGCGCACTGTTTGCGAAGTGCAGCAAATGTATCATATTAGAATTTTATATTTTTCACCTAGAGATCGGGAATTCAGTAATTCAGTATATGATGCAAATAAACAGTTTATCTTAGAAGCGGATCGTTTTTTAACCACAAGAATCTAATGAAACAGAAAAAGACATTTCTTTATTTGCATTCGTATTTGATAAAACAATAAAAATGATTAGTTGCTGTTTTTTATTGTAAAATCATTATTTGTTATTGGATTTCAATACCGAACTTCTGTTTATTTTTAAGTAGATAAATTCGTTTGCTGTCCTCTTTATTTCAAGCATTATATAATATCAATGGTGTTTTCAATCTAATGTATTTCCAATTGCCCCATTAGCAGGATTGAGATGTGATTGAAAATGTCTTTAGTATATACCAGCTACGAAATGTTTTTATTTCAATGAGCTACTAACGGTTCTGTAAGAAGGGGGTGAAACCATTCGTCCGTCCGTCAGACCGTTTGTCCGAGATATGACTCAAATACTATTTTATACATATACATATAGGAAGATAAATACTACTGAATGGTTTAAAACAAAAACATTTTTTTCAAAATGGTCTCGAGTTAAAAATTTTGGTAAAATTAATAGTATAATAGTCATTTCTAAGGGCAATATAGTGCTCGCAGAAATGACGTTATTAGTATTATTACCACCGTTAACGACCAGGGCTGAAATAGCAAGAAAATCTTACGCACTTAACGATATCTAATTTCCCGGGGAAAAATTGCCGGTCCAGAATATATCATTCTAGACCGGTCCATATGGACCACCACTATGGCGTAACACATTTCTCAGCTCGATATAGTAAAATGAATGCCTTCTAAACTAGCACTAAAACCCCTAGAACTGGCCCGGCAAGGTGGTTATAATGCACAATGGATGGTGTCCTATTATCAAAAGCTGTACACTAGTGAAGGAAATTTCGTTAGGGGGGGGGGTGTAAATGAGGATTTCGTCAGCGAAGACAGTTGATTCTTAATATTCAAATGAACGACAATTCAACAA